TGTTGAAGATCATGCATAGTTGCGGACTTGCGGTCATGTCAAAGCGGTCAGACTGCATTATCACGTGCTCAACTCACAGTGAAGAAAAATTTTATTGTTGCTGTTGAAGTGTTTTAGGGTAAAATTAGAGATTTGGGGTAACACGTGCATGGACTTTGTAAATAAATTCGTGTCTCGTAAATGGCTTTTCATGGCCAAGATATGGAATTCACGGTTCGGTGAAATGGAATCAAGGCTCAATTGCTCAAAGAAATGGAATCACGGCTGGCAAATCCATAAAATCATGGCTCAAAAAATTCAGTCGCGCATAGTGGCAAACCAGAGCTTTTTTAGAATCAGTTCATTTTGAATTTCCTCATTTACTCAAGATTTAAACCAATTTCTTAAGTATGATAATGCTGGTATCCAGGATACTTTACTGGTCTACTTATAGGACTCAAAAATGAACTTGAGGGAGAGTCTAAAAAACTCTCTGCTTTGCCACTATGCAGTCGCGGCTTGCCAAGTAGATATATTCCATGCCTGTCCACACTCAGGATGATGTATGTTTTTGGTGGATTTTCCCGCGCATTTTCACTTTTTTAAGCTATTGCTGTGCCTGTGCACCATGGTGGCAGGGAATTATTGTGAGTACTTATGCGTTTGCAAGAGCATCGCCCGGTCCGGCTCAGCGGGGGGGGGATAATTTTGCGGCCAAATGCTGGGCTGAATTCTGATGAGGAAGGGCCTTTGCTTTTTGATATTTTTAATGCCCTGTGTTGCTTTTCTTTTGCTTGCTGTCACGCTCAGCCATTGCGTCCACTGACTTTTCAAAAGCAAAAAAATAAGTGGTCTGACCTCCATGCCAAGAGGTCCAAAACTACACAAGCTCTCAGGCCCAACGGTCATCTTTGCGGTTGTCCTGTGGCTTTAAGTCTACCCTGCGTGGACATCCCGAAAAGAAGATCTACAAGGGAGCGCAGCCGTACACCACCAATTTCGTGCACCAATAAGCTCTGAATCAGCCGTGAACCACTCGGCGTTGTCTTCCTCCGGCCTCGCATAGAACCTGCCGTGCACCACCAGGCCGCGGATCGAATCTGACTTCCAGCTCAGTTCCAGGCATCGTTAAATTACGTAATTTTACGTTCACCGCATGATCACCATCTGAGGTTAGGTTTCAGATAGCATAGTTCTGTTCCAAAATTTATCGTCCTACGATAAGTGGCCGTTCAACCGAGGGCTGGTTCGACCCACGGCCTAGATACAGACGGCTTGAAGTGTCTATGTTCCGGAAGGCAGGAATCATGATGGTCCATTACATCCTGGGACCAGAGCCAGTGGACAGTGGTGGTCTTTGGCAGGCGGTCCCACCAATTTTGTGCACCAATAAGCACTCGTACAAGACGTATTCTCGGACCTCAGTGAGAGAGTGGGAGCGCATGCGCAGCCGTGCTCCCGTGCACCACTAATTTTGTGCACCAATAAGCCCTGAATCAAACGTCTTGGATCTCTCCAGAATCCGGATTACCGGATATCCACAGACCACAATCAGCTGTGCACCACTCGGCTTTGTCCTCCTCCGGCCTTGACCACCACCTGCCGTGCACCACCAGGCGGCAGATCGAATCTGACTTCCGGGCATCATTAAATTACGCAATTTTACGTTCACCGCATTTCCGCATCTGAGTAAGACTGAGGTTTGGTTACAGATAGCATAGCTCTGTTCCAAAATTTATCGTCCTTTGACAAGTGGCCGTTCGACCGAGGGCTGGTTCGACCCACGGCCTGGATACGGACGGCTTGAAGTGTTGAAGGCTACGTTCCGGAAGGCAGGAATCATGATGGTCCATATTTACATCCAGGCTCCAGCCTCTGCCCTCCAGGCTCCAGGGCAGTTGTGAACTTGTGGTCTTTGCCCTTTGGCAGGCAACCCGAGAGAGTCAGCCGCGTTCATTGAGTTATTTGAGTAAACATCTATAGTGTCTTATGTCCTTGATTGTGTAAAAGCTAACTTGCAAGTAATAATTTAGAATTAATTACAATTAGATAGTAAAATTCTAGGACGGGAGGTGCCTTATGGCACTCCGCGACTCTACCTTTGGTCGAGCACTCTGCCTCTGGCAATTGGCGACTTGCAGTTGCAGCGGTCTAAACCCAGCTTGGTCTCTCCCCATGGTCAGGAAGGTGTGCCAGGTGCGCGGGAATTTATTTTGTCATTTTAACAAGCTGCGCGGTGCGCCGTACTATGTTGGTAAAAAAAATGCGCCGTGCGCCGTACTTTAGAAGCTAAAATAGTTCTACTATTTTAGTCGACAATATACGCGAGTATATTGACTACGCGAGTTCGTCAATTTTCATTGCAGTGGAAGGTGGTGTAACGCGGTGGTAGGGTTGGTATTTCGATACGTTTTCTTATATTGACATGAGAATATATTACCTATACAGAATTCCACACTGCTGCTGTCATCGCTATGTCGTTTCTTGCAAACTGATTGTTGCATCCAGTCGCTTATATTGAAAATAAAATGATTTAAGCAAGTATTTCTTGCATCAGAGATAATTAAAAGTTTGCTAATGTTAACAGCATTATATATAATACATGCAGAAACGTACATTTTTTTATAGATATTAAAAATTTAGGCTCTATGACTTGTATACTATGTCTATCACCGTCTATAGGATTTTGAATCGCTGCATGCATTCAAATTCAAATTAGGTCCACCCACACCCCACGGCCAGTGTAGCTGTAGCTGTCAGCTCGCTCAGAAGTGTGAAAGCTTTTGCCGGTGAAGGTGTGTTATACGATCGGTCCATAAAGAAGTGTTGATCGGTTCAAAATGACATAAGAACAGGTTCTTTTGAATAACCTATGGATTGGCACCATGCTTGAGGCCATGGTCAGGAAGATGTGCCAGGTGCGCGGGAATTTATTTTGTCATTTTAACGATCTGCGCGGTGCGCCGTACTACGTTGGTAAAAGAATGCGCCGTGCACCATACTTTAGAAAGCTAAAATAGTTCTACTATTTTAGTCGACAATATACGCGAGTATATTGACTACGCGAGTCGAACTGACAATAATAAAATGTAGGACATGTCCGGGTTACTTCTGACTCTTCCGGTTGTCCGCCTTGTCGGATACAGAACGTACGGTAATCGTAAACTGCGGCTGTTATACATACAAAATGTATACAGACGGTGTTCAGTGATGCCATATGACTTTGGAGAAAATTTCTTCTAAAATAAAGACGGCCGGGATTGCGCGAACACGTGCGCAAAGATAATCAATTTTCATTACATTGCGCCAACTGTGCACAGCAATAGCTTAATAAAAGTGAAAATGCGCGGGAAAATTCATCGAAAACATACATCATCCTGAGTGTGGGTCTCTCCCAGACCCCAGTGGAGTTTCAAAATTAATTTTGATGAAAAAATTGAACTGTAAAATTGCTTAATGACTTCCCTCAATTGCATTTGCCAATCCATCAATGATTGAAAAAATGACAATGACCTACTTTCATCGGTTGCCAAGTCATCTTTCTGGGCCCAGCCTGGGCCCAGAACCCAACCAAGGATGGAAGTCGAGGAAGCCTCGAGTGCCGCCTCGACTTCCATCCATGGTTTCTCTTTCAAGCTTTATCATGGTTCATGACTTCATGCCATGATTATTGCCATTGTTGGAAAAGAATGTTGATAATATCACAGTCAAAAATATGCACAAATCACACACAACTCCCTCTACTCTCTAGAAATTTATCCGTGTTGGAAATAGCCCAGAATTATCCTTTCCTTGTTGCACATCATTGAACAATCTTGACTAAATTTTTGTCCTTTTCTAGTTATCTCCATGGTGGCCACACCGCACATGGCATTTCCAAACTCTAGGTTTGGACGCACAACAGCGATAAACAACAATTTCATTGCTTCAGTATTTATGTTCTCGTAAGAGCGTCTGATCAGTCCAAGTCGTTTATTGGCTGCTTAGAAAATTTCGACTCATTGTTGACATTAACTCCTACTAAATCTTTTTCCATTCTCAGGCTAAAAATTCTGCATAAAAATTTTTTTTATTAATGTTCTTGTAGTTGCTGTCATTCTGCATTCTTTCTGATGAAGTCTTTGGCATGTAATTTGTTTCCTTTAATGGTCTTGACCTTTTGATCATTTAAGAGAGCTTGCTAACAGCAGTGAAACTGTATAAAGCTCCTTTGAGGAAAGCAAAAATATCACTGTAAAATGCTAAATTGCATCAAATGAGTAGCAAAAAATGCATTTTTTTATACTTTGAGGGATTAAATTAGTGATAGGAAAGGAAATTTGTTATTGATTGAATATTAACTTGACTGTTTAGATAATGCCATCAAAGTTCAGAAAATGGCCTCATGGCTAGAAACTTGAGAAAGTCAGTAATCATGGCCCCAAAAAGACAGTCATGGTCTGTAAAGTAGATCTTTTCAAAACTAGATGTCAGCTTTGTTGAGCAAGAATTATGATGTCACCTTTGTATTTTGAACATGATGTCAGAGTTCTGGAGTTTTCTACATGCTTAGATCATTTTGATGTGCAGCAGGCACATTTTTGATTGTGACTCTTTGCTTCCCACTCTGAACTTTCTGTGCATTTTGTCACTGCAAAATGCATGGAATTGTTTTGTTGTTTGATTGTAATTTACACATCCTGCAAAATTAGTGAAAATTTTACTATGTTATTGGCAGTGAAGTTGCATATTACTTGTTTAGGAAATAATAGTAGCACTTTGTAAATAATTACCGGTACCTAAATCACTTCTCTTCAATTTGCTATTTTGGTATCTCTGATGCCTTGAAAAGGCTTTGAAATTCTTAGGATAACAAACTCTCTATGTCTCTGGTATATAAATTGCCACTGGCCTTTTAATTATTTTTCTAGTTTTACATTGCCCCAACCCTTGATTTGCATTAAACTGTATAGTCTGTATTACAGATTAAGTACAAGTATTCACACATGATTAATGCTCTACATTTTATTTTTTAATTTTTCAGATAAAACCTTTTTGTAATATTTCATTCATAAATGATGAATATGGAGTTATTGGGTACTGTTCAGTTTGTGAAGACTGAATTTGTGAGTGATAAATCATGCACCCCTGAGTCCTCAAGTGATACTGTTGATGCCTTATTTTCTGGTGAGGTTAAAACTGAATCTATATCTGTCTCTGCCTTGGATGATGGTGATGACCTGCAAGCTTCCAATGTTATTCATACTAAAGTGATCAGTTTACCTGAGCTGCATAAACCATCTCATTTTATGAAAGTGTGTAAGAGCCCAAATAACCGGGTTCAACACTATCGAACAGCATGGGAGAGAAACCCATTGTTTTCCATGTGGTTAACACGGGGAAGAAATAGCCGTAGGGCCAAATGTCGTGCATGCAACTGTGAGATGAGCTCTGACATCACTGTGCTCAGATACCATGCACGAAGTAAAAAGCACATGAGGTCCATGAAAGCCATTTATGGAGAAGTGACTGCAGTCATTGAGTGTGGAGCCGAGCCTGTCAGAAAAGGCTTCTATAATCAAGACTGGGAGGAGGACATTCGCTACAGTAGCTGGATAGCACCTGGTAAAACCCCAGCATTTGCATACTGTAAACTTTGTAGAAAACAAATTCCTGCAGATTCTGCAGCCCTGAGAGGTCATTTATCATCTTATAAGCACATGAAATCTGCAGGTGAGTACCAGCAAAATTATATGTTACGTACATTTTAATTACATTGATTTGTAATTAGCTTGCTTATTTTGGGTATAAAAGAGCATGTGGCAATGCTTCTGAAAAACTGCTGCCAATCAAAATTACTTTGTGATTTTATAATCAAAATAAGATTCCATTGTTGAAATCTAGTTCTAAACATGTGCTACTTCTTTTTTTTACAGAATATGATGATCAGATCAGGAGAATATCATCTTTGGAGTCTGAGAGCATATCAATAGAGGCAGCTGAGACTGAGTAAGATTTTAGTTAATTGTTATTCATGATATAATAAACAGTAATTTATTTCAATGTATAGATAGTACCTACCAGATATAGGAACTTTCAGATTCAGGAAAATGTAAATATTTTAAAAGTTATTCTTCAGTTCAGGCATTCTAAGCTTGTATGAAATGCAATTGTTATGTTACCCTATTGCACAGAAGTTACACTTGACTAAAAAAAATGTTGCCATCAAACAGGGCTAATGGAGGAAAATAAAAAATGGGTAGTTAGTGTACAATATTTGCTTCTCTTCTTGTTTGATATTTTCCAAAAAACAAGTCTGTGCTCAATTTAATGCAACAATTTTATTGATTAATTGTTATTTGTTTCATTGATGATTACTATTAATGAAATAATCAACATGAAGATATGATATTGCTTTTTAATTGTAGGTATTATTTATGTATATATTGCATTACATAGTGTGTGACTTCAATATACCCACATCAATATAGATTTGCAGGTAAATTTGAAATCAACTGCAATATTTAGTATCTGGATAAGTTGATAGGATTCTGTAATAATTATTGTAAAAAAATGTATGAAGTGAACTATTACTTTGAAACCTGGTGGTTTGAGTTTTTTAAATTTATGTCATTAATTCAGATATATGTAATTAAAATTGGAACTTGTAATGACTGACAATTACAAAGTTTTCCCATTTTTCAGTAGGTAAAAGCATTCCTTACGGATATTAATGCAATTTCATTTTTTGGTATTTGATGGTTGCTGAGGTATAATCGTGTGAATATTATTAATTATTGGTATAGTTTGGCCATAAGTAGTTGTTTAATGCTCTGTATTAATTGTTAAATGTGTATGGATATTCAAACTATCACATTGTCTTTATATAGGTACTTAGTTTTGTTTATGTAGGTACTTAGTTTTCTTTATGAAGTTTATATACTTGAATTTTTTAACAGTGACAGTGTGTTGGTGCATGAGATCAAGCACAGTGAGTGTCAGGACACAGCAGTGCTGGAGCAGAGCTTCGAGCAGCTCGTGCAGCCAGCCCTTGTTGTTGTTAAGGACGACCGACATGAACCACTTGAGAGACTCTCTTTCCTCATTGGTAAATTCCTTCTTAAAGGAGAGAAGATGCTTAATGCCGTGTGTGGCAAGTGTCAGGTGAGTTCAAGCTAGTTTTTTTTGCAGTCATGCACATGTACCAAGAGGTTTATACATCTAAATGATCAATGTGCGGCATATGACTCTAGTCTATAGACTAGATTGATCTAGTCATTGTCTACAGACTAGTCATTGATCTAGTCTATAGATCAATGTGTGGCATATGACTCTAGTACAGTTAACGTTGACTCGTTGCTCAAATGAACTGAATTCAGCATTGACATTAATTAGTTTCATGTATCACTCATCTTTTTTGATATTTTCCTTACTAAGCATGTTTTTCTTATATGGTTCTTGTTACTTTGGTGAGGCACGTTTAGATTAGAGTGAAAACAAGTGATATTGTCAACAAGTCTCCCGTCATATTTTGCCTCACAGTGTGTGTTGCTTGAGGACCGCAAGAAGCAGACTCACTGCGTGGGCTGTCAGTACGGTCTTATGGACGAAATTTTGGCGCCACAGTCAGGTCAGCAGCTCTGCCCTCCCACTCATTGTACTTATTGGTAGAAAGTTAATTGAAATCTTGATAATCATCGCGTGTCGTGATTATGTGATCCTTGTAGATTTGCTATACTGTAATTTGCCAATCAATTGATCCTGTAAATGCCTTATTTTTAGCGCATTTTCTCATTTATTGAAAAAATGCAGTATTGTGCTCGCCATGTCCGTCTGTCCGTCTGTCCGTGACCTCAAGTTTTCGTCGATGAGAAAATGCGCTCTCTGTCACTCACTGCAGTGAGTACCGAGTTATTTTTTTATTTATTTTTCATTGATCATTCTGTAGAAAATTGCTACTTTTTAGGTAAGAAGTTAAATTTTAAAATAATTAGCCTTTAACATGCATTGTTTTGCTAAGCTGTTGCTATTGAAATCGTTAAGTGAACCACAGATGATTTCTTATTCATGTAAATTCACTGTTCCAGCCAATAAAATCAAGGGACAGTCTACACTAGTGAAACCCTGGACCAAGTCAGCGTTGGCTGACCATGTGCTTTTCGACGAAGAACCTGAAAGTGACGTCACTGAGATTCACATTTCTGAAGTTACAAGTAGTTCTTCATTTGCTGATGAATCTGCAACGCTCTGTGATACTCAAACGTAAGAACGAGTTTTTCAAACCCTCGTTTAATCTCACCTCATTGAATCCTCACAGGTGTTCAGCAATATTCATTGTTGTGCTATGTAGGTACCTACTGTATATTCTATTTCTGCAAACTTTCACGAGATATCTTTACTTGTTCTACATACCTATTGCTTTCTTAACATTGACGTATCGCACTTTAAACTCTTCTTTGTTTTTAATAGTTGCTTGTATTAGAGTACCAGTCGTGAAAAAATTAGGCTGAATGAACATAGGCTTCATATACATCCAGCAAATTTCTATATATTGTGTACTGTGGCTCGTGTTGATTTGTAATGACGAAAGATACTCGGTCATTGTATCTGGCCTTAGGCAAGAATTGTGTTATATTGATAGAGAATTTGCTGAGTATATGTTTCTTGGCTATCATCATTATATAGAATTCGTTTAAGCTTTATGGTTATTTGTTCATCTTGGATAATTACATATTTTTTTTAGTTTTTGTGTTAATAGCTGCTGACGTACATAATCATACGAATGAATTCGTACTCGTTCAAGGCAGAATTTCGTATAACTGTCGTGCTTCTTAAAAATATTCAATTTTCCTGGCTGAATTTTGTGTAATTTTTGCAAACACAATCATGGCCTTGAATAATTTTCGATTTTCTAGGCATAATGTTTATGAATACGTAGGTAGTTGCTGACCCCATTATGCTCATGGATAATTTGCAAATTCCCTGACGTAATTTGTTCAAATTTCTGCTCTAAAAACATTATCGTGAATAATCTTTGAACTTATACGTAATTTATGGGAATTTTTGCGGAGGTGCTTGCTCCTGAGTAATTTTCAAATTTATTCAAAATTCCAGTAAATTCTGTGAAAATTCTCACACAATGATGCTTCGAACTATTCATGAATGTACAAGCATAATTTTATATAAATCTCTCTGTAGTTCATGTTCCTATATTATTTGCTACACTGTTAGAAAAATTACCGTTAACGGTATTATACCGGCGTTTCAGTGGCCGGTCGGCACGTGAAAAGAAACACCATGTCGCCGTTTTTATTCTAATTTAACACTAGAAATCCGTAAAATGTCTGATAAAAACGGCGCAACAGTTTATTTTCACGGGGCGACCGGCCACTAGAACGCCAGTGGGACCGTTTTTTCACCGTTTTTTGTAACAGTGTAATAGTAACCTTAGTACGTGTTTATTACGTAACAGTCCCAGGCCACGCCAGATTGCCGCCTCCTATTGAGTGTTTATTTGTGGTTTGAGCACGGTTCCCCTGGAAATAACTGTTAGAAATAAGGTTCCTCTTGGGATATTTTCACTGGGAACCTTATTTCTAACGGTTATTTACATGGGAACCCTATTTTATTGCACGTATTTCTACTGTGAGCCTTTTTATGAGCAGTGAGGAGAGCGACTGCCTGAGCCTGGACCTGAGACGTGAAGTAGAGGGACTGGTCGGCACGCTGCGGTCGCGGCTCAGCTTCCTCACCGACGAACTCAACGCTGCTGATGATATCGATGACTGCCTTGAGTGCCTGGACAAGACCATCACGGCCATCAGTAAACTCAAGAACCTTGCCAACATTTCTTCGTGATTAATGTGAAAGATTTTATTGACAACGTTTTTTGATATAAGATAAATCGAAATAATTACCGACGAACTCTACGCTGCTGACGACATCGATGACTGTCTTGAGTGCCTGGACAAGACCATCACGGCCATCAGCAAGCTCAAGAACCTCGCCAACATTTCCTCGTGATAAGAAAGTGAAAGTTTTTATTGACGTTTGTTGATATAAGATAAATCGAAATAATTACCGACGAACTCAACGCTGCTGGCGACATCGATGACTGCCTTGACAAGACCATTTCGGCCATCAGTAAGCTCAAGAACCTCGCTAACATTTCTTCGTGATTAGAAAGTGAAAGTTCTTATTGACAACGTTTGTTGATATAAGATAAATCGAAATAATTACGGACGAACTCAACGCTGCTGACGACATCGATGACTGCCTTGACAAGACCATCACGGCCATCAGCAAGCTCAAGAACCTCGCCAACATTTCCTCATGATTAGAAAGTGAAAATTTTTATTGACAACGTCTGTTGATATAAGATAAATCATAGCTGAAGGAAAATACTGTGCCATAGTAAAGGAAAACTCCGCCTTTAGAATTTAGCACAATGTATAATTCTGCAATTGATGTCAATGAAAGAAGTTCTCCATACGAATGAATGAAATTTATTTAAGTTATTCTTGATGCTGAAACTAGTCAAGTTTTTCGAAGCTATCCTGCACTGCATCATATTGTTGCCTGTCCCATGCGAGCCGCCGTGTACTGTGCCGTTTTAATTTCCTTTACTCACTTGTTCATTTTTCACCTTACTTAGATTGCAGTACATTTTACATTATATAAAAAACATAAACCTAGCATATTGTGCTCAAAAATTACTGATGCGTCGTTATACTGCAACTTTTGAAATCTCTTCGTTACCGACGACGCCGAAGAACAAAACGTGCTGTAGATTTCTTTTAAACGCTATAATTTGCTCGCTTTTGATAATTCTTTTCGTCACTCAATGATTTATGCTCATAAATCAGTTGCATTAAAAATATTTACGGTGCATCTTATGAGTTATCTTTTCGTGAATACATGAGCTTTGTATTTGTTTTATTAGTGTGCCTTTATTTAAGAAGTAAAATAATTTTTTATTTTAAATTTAGATTAGAATTTATCTAAAGATTTGTACAGTTATTTCCTGAGACTCAGGGTTCCTTTGCAATGACGCTTTGACGAAGCTAAGCAGCTCTATGCAAAAAATGAAACTCAAAACTTTTCTTACGTTAACTAAATTGTTTTATCAGCCTGCCCATTGTGGAGTGAGACCACAGATAGACTGGTTCTTTAACAATTTTAGGCATGAGTGTCAGAATTTAAATTTTACAAAATAATGACATCAGGACATCTGCTTATCGCTGTTGCATTCAACTGCTGCTATGCATACCCATTCTAATGTGAAATAGGTAGGTATGTTAAATGCTCACAGGATGATGGTTGTTGGCAGTAGGTAATAAAGATATTGCATTTATCAATACTAGAAGCTTCAAGTTACTTGTTTTCATTTAGTTTCTCCTCATTCGATAGTGGCAGTACAAATTCAATTCGTATTCAATTTAATTTTACAAATAATTACGCTTCTTTATCAATCAATATAAGATAGTTGGAACACTCCGTTCTACCTGCGAGCCCAGCCAATTCTATGCATGCATTGTGGCTTCATTTTCTGTCGTAATCTTATTCTGTGAGGTTATTTTTACACTTATTACTCTTCTGTCATATAGTTATTGTGCGCTATATCAGCTAATCTTGAAATTCTGACGGGACTGTTGATGTGGATTTATCAGGGACAAGGAATTCGCCACTGTGTTGGATGACTATAAGGTTGAATGCATCACTTTTTATGTATGTTAACTAATGAGAATTTTGTAATGTTTAAGGTAAAGTGGATGAAATTCACACGTAAATTGTCCTCCAGACAAATAGTGGTTCCTTTTGATAATTTGGATTACGATATCTCCCCTTCATTATATTTTTTCACGTTGTTCCTAGCCTAAAATCTTTAATATGTGTGTTGCCAAAGAATGCAAACATTATTCGTACTCCTACCAGAGTGACATTACAATTGTTGACACTTTTTGTGTGACATTGGGGGCATAGGTCCGAGTGAGTGCTGTCCAAGCTGTGTTTGTTTTAGGAGTATAGTGATTGAAGATGACCACAGCAGAGTCTGCTCAGGTGCACCCTGTCTGCACGGTTTAACTGCTATTCTGTATGGCTGATGTCTGGCGGTACCGGTATGTCGTCTATGATATTGTTGATTGGTGGATTCGAGAGTGCGTTCCGGGTTAGATGTGTGTGTATATTTTTGATGAAGTTGGCTGGGCCTGTAGCGGGGTTAACGCGTCAAGTATTGTGAGGTAGTGGTTGTATGGAGTTTAAGCTATTTTTCTGGGGGTTGGGGGTAGATGCTGAAATTGATGGCAAGGACTGAGAGGGTTGTGGAATGCTGAAGGAATTGGGTGCCTCTCATGTCTAAGTGTTCTTTCAGAAGGACAAGTTTTGTTTCTGCGTGGACGTGGCTGGGCGATGTGGTTTGAGTGCTGCCAAGTGCGATTCTGAGTGCTGTGTTTTGTATGGTTTGTAGGTGTCTGTGAAGTGGTGGTGAAATTATGAGTGCCCTGGCTGGACTTGCATAGTCCAGTACTGAGCGTATGTATTGTTTGTACACTAGTGTGAGGGTTTCTTTGTTCTGTTCGAATGTTGTTGCTGTGAGGGCTGTAAGTGTGTTTGGCCGAGGTCTGCATTTTTTTATGTTCTGTATTTGTGGCCCGAAAGACATGGAACTGTTGTAATTCACACCTCGGATGTTGTTGTTATTGTGGTTCCCTGGTCTCATTTTTACAAGAGACCCCCACACCTCGGATGTTGGTTTCATGTGTGTGTGGTATGATGGTGTTGTTTAGTGTGACTCTGGGTCTGTGTTGATGCTCCTTTGTGTGGCTTGTTAGTAGTGTGCTTGTTGATTTGGTGGGGGCTACTTTGAGTCTGTTGCGTGCTAGCCAGCCCTCTAGTTGTGTGATATAAGGTTGTACTTGGGTAGAGCATGTGTTAGCATTGGTGTGTGTTGATGTAATTGTGATGTCGTCTGCGTAGGATGAAATGTGAATGTTGTCTGGTGGGGCAGGAATGTCGTGCATGTAAAGGTTGAAAAGTGTTGGTGAGAGGACTGACCCTTGGGGTACTCCGTTTGGTATGTTCTTTGTGTGTGATGACTTGCCATTATAGTGTACGATTGACTGCCTGTTAAGTAGTTGGCAAGCCAGCGTTTGGTGTTATGTAGTATTGTATTGTAGATTTTGTCTGTGAGTGGGAAGCGTGGGATGGCATCAAATGCTTTGCTAATGTTGATTGTAATCAGGAGTGTAAGGTGCGCAGGGCGCTTGGAATTAATGTCATCTTGTATACGTTGTGAGGTTGGTGAGGAGTGTGGTGGTTGAGTGATGAGTTATGTAACCGTGTTGTGTGGGTGAGAGGTGAATGTGAGGCATGGTTATGGAGAGTTTGAGGCGCTATACAACTTTGGATGGTGTGCAGAGCAGTGTAATTTTCGGTTTCAGGAGGGTTAAGATTTTGCCAGTTGTCCAGATTGATGATATGATGTAGTGGGCGTAAGAAAAGTTAGCTATATTTGCGAGAGTGTTGATACCATGCAGGTCGAGGTGCTTAAGATGAATGTTGGATATGTTATCTGGCCTTACGACTGAAGAATTTTTGAGCTGTCTTACGACGCGTGAGGTGTCAGATGTTGTGGCTAGGATATAATTATTTTCTAGTGGAAATTTGTGCTTGCGCCTGCGTATTTGTCTGTCTACCATGTGCTTTGGTAGGTGTCTGATGCTGACATAATAATTTATCAATAGGTATGTTGGACGTGAAGGGATGGTATCTGAGATGGTAATAGCTGAGTGGGATGGTGTGAGGCCACTGTTGGCATTAGTGAGGCTGCGGATTGTTCTATATAGTTTTGAGAAGTCGGTGCTGTGGTTTGTTTAAATATTTAACCGCTCTGTAATTTAACCGTGTTCACTGGAGTCGCTCGTCGTGCTGTAGCTCTATTGTGCTCATAAATATTTCTTGTTGATTAAGTTTCCGTTCATGTCGCGGTTGTGTTTTTGACGCTGCTATTTGCTTTTTACTAGATTTTTTACAAGTCCCGGATGTGGATCATATCGCATCGAGTCAATATTTAGAACTCTTGGACTATCTTGTGTTCTTAATATCCAAATATGTATTTACTCTCTGATCAGCTCCTTCGTAATTTTTTTACTAAACCTTCCTGAAGGTTTGGCTTTCCTTTATTTATGAATTTGGAAGCCATTTTGGTGGGTTTAGTTGTGTGAAACTAAACAGGTTAAATGCAAACGCCACTGTGAGTCGCTCGCGCTTGTCCTATTTCATATGTTTATTGCAAATCATTGATAGTTAAATCTCTCAGATTTATTAGTTGGCTGTTTTTTCGATATTTACAGGAACTGAAATTTAACCCCGACATGTTAGCCCATTTGAGACCAAATATTTAATTCGAATGTCATTTTGAAAGTTATCGTTTTCCGTATAAATGATTATTGTATCATCAGACTGAGTTTATTCCCTTGCAGATAGATTTTTTTAATAGGCTATTTATGTGCTAAGCAGTAGCGGTCTTAAGATTTATCCGTGCTATGCTAGACCCAACCAAAGAGCCGGAGTTCTTCGTGGAGAACGCCAGCGAGCACTACCGCCCCCAGAACTACCGTGCAGACTGGGAAGAACATCCCGCTCTTAGGGAGTGGATCGCTCCAGGGAAGAACCCGAAGCGCGCGCGATGTACCTACTGCGACATCGAGATGACGGCCGACATGGGCGTCTTGAAGAGCCATGGCAAAGGAGTGCGCCACAAACGCAGGCTTATGGGCGAGGTTCTGAGCTGCAGTTCGCGTTATAACAAAAACTGGGAGAATGACCCCGACTACAGGGACTGGATAAGACCTGGTCGTGTCGTGAGTCGCGCCGAGTGCGCGTATTGCGATGTCGAGTTCGTGGCGGAGTCCACGGTCATCAGGAACCATGCCAAGTCCAAGCGCCATCATCGAGGAGCGCGTGAGTCTCATGCGTCGTTATTAAGCAAGCTCAGGCATCCTCATCATTTGAATTGTTTGCTGGGAATAACTCGTTACCAGGGTCCATACTTTCAAAACTCGCTAAATGAACGTAAGTACTTACGCACTATTTTCTTGTCTATGATTGGTGGATTTTGCTTGAAAGGCTGTCAATGATTGGCTGATGGACTTACGATCTCTTAACTTTTTTGAAAGTATAGGCCCAGGCCTTTAGATACGAATAATATTGACTGTAGTCACCGTATCCGTAGACGGAGGGTTAACCCTTTATATACTGGCAGTAACTCGCGTCACAAGGCAATTCAGATAACAATAGTAGGTATTGATGAAGTCGATGCACCCGTAGTCAAACAAATGGGTCGGATAATTCGCCTCATGTTTGTTTATCTTTAGTTATGAGCTCAGCTATGATTTCTGCTAGTATTCACGTGTTAATGATGCAGCGTTTAACATTCCGGGCTGTAAGTTTCGTAGCAATTTTTAGGCGACTTATTTAAAGTTTCTCTAGTTTTAACAATTAATTTAATAAATCAAATCTCAGGTTCCAGGTTTCTTTCCACAGGTCAGGCCCAGAAGCTGAAGGAGATCGCGAAAGTTTGGATGGTGGAGAAACGCGCGTTGGATCGCCAGTGAGTGATCATAATCAGTGCCTCTTGATGAAGACAATATATTGGATTGCAATATAGGATGAAGTAAACTAATCCTTTATTGTGAGCTAACATGATGATTGTATTTTTCATAAATATAATAGCGTAAATTTGATACATTATGGAAATAGAGTTAGTGGTTACTGTACTGTGTATACTGTATTCGATGCCTATAGTATAACGCAACTTTTTCACACTAAAGACGAAAAAGGACGGTGCATTCCAAAGCCCAGCATTGGTTCTGCACTTTCCAATGCTCTTGTATTCAATAATTAAAAAGGATGGGGCATTGCGCGCGCCTTATATTATTCTCGAAAATCTGTCCGAGAAAACTAAAAATTATAAAATTCTATAAACTTCAGACCAGACAGTGTTTTCGTGGGAAAGTTCGTTGCTGATGCCAACTACAGAACTTTTAACCCTTTTTTTCATCTACAAACCGTTGACTAATTTCTCGTATTCACATATCTTTCTTTCTATTAGATATATCAGTGCTCTTCTCGTGTCTTTCGATTAAATTGTGAATAAAAAATACCCCAGTTCTGTAACGCAAGTTTAATTCGTAGGTTTTGAGCTGAACGTCATCTTGAACGGCCTACACTTCAGCGTCGAGATCACTATGTTATGTAATGTTATGTTATATACATACTCCAACTAACATTTAGTGGTTCTTAGAATGTGTGAAAGTAACATAATTCTAGCTCCCATGTTGGTACAGCGCCTTCTCCCCAAAGGTCCTCAAGCGGTGAATTAGAAAGGAAATTCATCCAGACAACTGCAGCCGGTAATTCTCCAGAGCCCTCAAGGTTGCAAGATGGAAACAGACCTTCAGACGCGGACAGCGACGGCTCCCCAACTGATGAAACACTTACCAGCGATGCCAGAAACAGACGTGCTGTGCGAACTGTTTCCTTTAACAAACATTTCGATACGGAGGACTGTGTAACTCTTATGTACAACGAGCCCGATCCTCTTGCAGACATCAAAACTGAACCCGTTATTTTGAGTGTTCAGGCACTGGACGATGAGGAGAAGAATAGCCAAAGTCTGTCTTTAGGTCACGGAAGGAATGGAGATACAACAACAGCTGGTTACGATGGCTCTGCTCGTCAAACTGAAGAAATAAACTCGCTGAAAGATTTAGTCCAGCTGGAAAGTCCTTGCGTTCATTGTCAGGTGAGTGAGGAATAAGCATACTTTATATCATTCGTATTTAGTTTTAGCGCATTTTCTCATTTATGGAAAAAATGCACTATTGTGCTCGCCATGTCCGTCCGTCCGTCTGTCTTTCTGTCTGTCCGTCCGTCTGTCCGTGACCTCAAGTTTTCGTCGACGAGAAAATGCGCTCTCTGTCACTCACTGCAGTGAGTACTGAGTTAACTATTGTGCTCGCCATGTCCGTCTGTCCGTCCGTCTGTCCGTCCGTCTGTCCGTGACCTCAAGTTTTCGTCGACGAGAAAATGCGCTCTCTGTCACTCACTGCAGTGAGTACTGAGTTATATTTTTTTGATCTTAAGATCTTATAAACTTGGCGATGACCTTAAAAAATTTCCCGACAAGCATGTGCTCTGTATCAATTTTAGTACTAAGTTGTGTGATCGATGAAGACATAAATGCTTTACGCAAGTAATAAATTAGCTAACTTTAAGTAATAAATTAGCTGATTTAATTTACCACAAGTTTTCTAATTCTACTTGTAACTGTCATTCGTCAGAGTTTTCTGTTCGAAGATGGAAACGGTCGCCGGCTGTGTGTCTCGTGCGAAGTCTTCTACTCTGATCGCGGTGAGGGCTTCATCATTTCCGGCACAATGACCCATATCGTCTTTAGCAGTGTAAACATTATTATCAATACTTAATCCCAATCCCAAGCCAACTCGCTTCACCACAACTCGCAATATCAAGACTCGCTTCATCCCTACTCGTTTGATCCCAACTTACTCCATCTAATATCACCATATCCCAAGTCACTATTATTTTATCTCGTGTCTCTTCATCTCAGCTAAGTTAATGTCAATTCGCTTCATTTAATCCTTCAGAGTTCCATCGCAATTTTCGAAGTCGTTAACGAATGAAAAAACTTATGCGGTATTTACGTAAAGTATAAACCGCGTTCCAAAAATCACGAGATTTTTTTTACATCTCCAATTTACTGGAAAATCTATCACAGAAGGACTGTGAGATGAACTCTAACTATAGCTGCGTAAGAACCACCTTTATTCTGGTGTCTTTCACAACAGACTTTACAATTACAAAAATATTTTTCATTCCATGCCCATTTCAACGCAATATAAGTAGGCAGTTAAATTTGTTATACAATTGCCGGGGTACAGACTCGATTGGCTCTCATTCCAAGCCTATTTAAATGGCAAATAAGTAGGCGGGTAAACTTATTATACAATCGCCGTGGTACAGACTCGAGTGACGCTGCCGGGTCGTGGCTGAGATGTGGTGCCTCTGGGACAGCCCCCGACTCCGTTCCACCCAACACCCGCATCCCACCCCTGCCTGGCTGCCAGACGTGAGTTGTCAAAGAATCCTGGGGCCATACTTTCAAAACTCGCTAAGTGAACGTAAGTACTTACGCTCTATTTTCTTGTCTATGATTGGTGGATTTTGCTAGAAAGGCCGTCAATGATTGGCTGGTGAACTTACGATCTCTTGACTTTTTTCTGAAAGTATGGGCCCCGAAACGTAACGATGTCTCAATTATTAATTGTTCAGTTGGTCTATACAGCAACATTTAATTATGGAGTGTTAGGTGTTACAGCGTTGCCAGTCTCGCAGCTGTAGTTAAACGTAGTTTTTAGCGCATTTTCTCATTTATGGAAAAAATGCCCTATTGTTCTCGTCATGTCTGACCGTCCGTCTGTCCGTGACTTCACGTTTTCGTCGACGAGAAAATGCGCTCTCTGTCACTCACTGCAGTGAGTACTGAGTTATATATTTTTTATTATTCTTCCCATATTATTTGTGAACACAGGTTGCCAATCTCGCAGTTGAAGATTGTATGAGTGAACACGGCCTAGCCAGCTTCGCAGATGTGTTTTTTATATTTTTCGCATTTTATGTATGAACAGAGCCGGGTTGGTTGAAGAAAACTTCGCCGATTAACCTACTGACAGTAACGCCATAAATCAGGCCTTAGATACTAATATCATGAATTGGACGTTTCAACTTGACAGTAGACGAATGGTTGCAGTTCTAAACACTAAAACATTTTGTATTTGCAAATATATTCCCAGCTCGTACCGATCGTAATCATCAATTTGGTCTTATTGCTTCTTGCAAAATTGTGCCTCCCGCATGTCAAAGCTCTAAAAATATTCCCCGCTCGTTTCAACCAAATGATTGCCTTGAGACTTGATTGCCTTGAGACTTGATTGCCTTGAGACTTGACTGCCTTGAGACTTGACTGCTTTGAGACCTGATTGCCTTGGCAGTTGTGTGGTGCACGGCTTCGACCTGAGTCCCGAGCTGCAGCGGCTGGTGGTGGCGCTGAGGACGCAAGTCTCCCGCCTGCTGCTCGACGTGACGCTCGGCGCCGACGAAGAGACCGCGCTACTGCGACTCGACAAAGTCCTCGCACTTCTTATCAAGATAAAAAATTTATGAAATCTCATCTTGGATCTAATTGAAGAAAAATTGTTTTACGGATTTATATCTCGTTATACAGCAGTCAAATATACTTTCGTGTTGGCACTCAAATTTAAAATATTTGCGAGGATGGCAACTGAAGGCAAGTCATGTGTGGGGGTTAGGTGGTTGATTAGGCAGGCCAGTAGTAGGGGTTAGGTTGTTGAGTAGGCAGGCCAGTAGTAGGGGTTAGGTTGTTGAGTAGGCACGCCAGTAGTAGGGGTTAGGTTGTTGAGTAGGCAGGCCAGTAGTAGGGGTTAGGTTGTTGATTAGGCAGGCCGGTAGTAGGGGTTAGGTTGTTGATTAGGCAGGCCAGTAGTAGGGGTTAGGTTGTTGAGTAGGCAGGCCGGTAGTAGGGGTTAGGTTGTTGAGTAGGCAGGCCGGTAGTAGGGGTTAGGTTGTTATACAGGCAGGGCAGTTATATTGTTTTGTAGGCAAGTCATTTGTGGGGATAATGTCGTTTAAAAAGACCAGGTTGTGTTGGTTAGGTTGTTAGTTAGCCGGATCATCTGTACTTTCTTCTCCCCCTCTCTTGCTGGCGTCTCGTACAGTTTGTGACTTGTACGGGTGCCTTAGTTTCTGTTCCGTTCATCTCTGCTTCGTTCTTCGTCAATGCCAACCCCTACCTTACCGGCGTCAGCAATATTGGATTAGCGGAAATTTTTAATCAATGCCTTCTATCTAGCCGGCGATTGTTTTATTACGCGGTGTGAATGCTTCATCTGAAGCGCTGTTAGAAAGAGCTTATTGTCTACTGTGATGGCGATCCTTGATGTGGGACTGTCCCAAATGACCTACGATTATGTCTAGTCACCGGCTTACGAGAAAAAACTAATGGATTTCTCCAAATGCAAGTTGTCAAGAAAAATAGTTGAACGTTTTGGCAGAATTGGATCATGTTCAGCTCTAGAGTTCTTACTAAGACATTTTTATGTCTTCGGTTTTGACGAGTTATTTTTTAAATTATTTTAAAAAAATTTCATTTTCAGGCAATTTTTGAAGAATTTTTGACTATACAGTTTCGAAATAATTTCTAAGCTTGCGTTAACTCACTTCTTCGACACGAAAAATTTAGATTTCGATTTACGCACCATGAATCTTTGTAGATCCATGCGATGATGTACTCTGTTTTTTATTTAATTTACAACTGTAAGCTAGAACATTGTACAGAAATTGTAAATAACCTTGAAGTATGTAAATTTTCATGAAATTTGTGATTGCGGTGAGTTTGATTAAACACTATTTGGGCGAATGGTAATTTTACGATGGATGTTATTTTGTTAAGTTCCGTAGAGAATGCAGTTCAGGCTGTAACATGAATATGAACGGGCAATCGTGAAGATTAACATGTATAAAAAATGTGTAAAACTAAATAAGCCACCAATTCATGAGCTAATCATTATCACGTAAATTTTTGGTATTAACCCATTCCCTCCTAGCGCTACCATACTCCATACAGTACCACATAATTTACTCGTCAATAAAATTCTTTCAATTGCAAAGGGCTTCTTGGAAACTAGTTTGTTATACATTCAAGCCTTATAATAAGTCCAGGCTTTATTGTTCACAACTTTAAAGATCAGTGCTACCACAGCAACTGTTGCAGTGACGGTCTTTGGAGATGCGGTGAAAAAAGGCTCTGTCCCAATACTGCGCGACTTGAAAATCGCGCTATAATTACTATCAAATTTAATTGTTCAGATTTTGAAGGGCAAAGTGCGAAATAGTAGATATGCATGTAAAGTTAGATGTAGCTGAGATTATTTACAAGGATTGTGTTGTGGTATGGACGTTGGAAGCAAATGGTCCCGCTAGAAGGATTCGAGTACAATTTTCTCAGGTATATATTTTGCGGATCTCGTTTTCTAAATGAAATTTTAGGCCATTTAATAGAAACCAACACTGAATATGACATAGGTATTCTCTGAGCCCTCTGATTCATAGCCTCCTTTGAGATGACTATTTGATGGTCGTAAGCTAGATTGAAGCAAGAACGTAGATCAACTTTAGCATGCATTGCTCGACCTGAGCTCCCGCAAACTGAATTTGCGGGAGCAAATAAAAACATTACAAACATTTAAAAAGAAAACGTATGTTACATTTCGTCCCCACCAAAAAATTATCTCACGAAAAGTCATGATTAAAAATTTTTCGAAATGTGGATGCAAAAGGCGACAAAAATGTAAGCCTTTACGATTTGTGTACAGGTTGAGATGTTTTTTTTTCAATGATATGGTATTTTATTTAGTTAGAATGAAATTACGCCTCATTACGAACAGATGCCTGACAATTTCTCTTCAACTCAATAATCAAAACGTAACCGGGTAAGTTAGATTTTTTACTCGCATCCACCTAGTGGTCCCATATGGTATCGTACCTCTTATAATAAAAGTAAATAATTTGTTATTCATTCATAAATAATTTAAATACATACCAAAAGACTAAATATCAATTTCGAGGTATATCCAAAAACTTTCGGAAGGAATGGGTTAAAGAATTATCGTGAATGTTTTAGGAGATAACACGAAAGAATATCGAGTTGCTTGACGACCTTGATCCCAGAATACAGACTGCACGTGAATTATTATTAACTGGAATGATTTGTACTAATATAAATGCCTGAGGATAACGGAACACAATAAACAATCCGTAAAACGGCAAGTGTATTTACTGAAGCGACGCTAGCCCCAAACAAACGAGTTAGCGCGCGGTAGGGCACAGCACGCTTCTCACTGGATGCTTCATTTAGCTACTTGTTAAATGTACATCTGAACACAACAGCACAGGTCTAAAGGGTATACAGCTACGCAAATGAACATGCGGAAACATCGTTCAAGGTCTACTAGCTAAAGCTCCTATGGAACGCATCAATATAGAATTTGTTTCATATAAGTATACTCGCATGTTATCATCGGCACGCGTCCAGCTCAAATGCAAACGACATTATACGCTGTCCACCTCCAAATAATTGTACACAGCTGAAAATAAATATTATTTGATACGCTCTTAACAAGAGAAGGTGAGGATAAAGCGAGTTATATCTAAGTTCACGATCACATCGCACCCTAGAACTAATCAGAAGAGGTCTCCCGTCAAGCCAATAGTTGGTTGAGGCGAGCCATAAAGATAACACACAAATAAATAAGCCTTTTTGGACATCACAACTAATCGCGTGAACTATAATACAAAATACTAGTGATAATACAAAAATACTACCGAGAGCAAATCTCGAAGAAATACTTAAGAATGACGAGACAGAGACATATAGAAGACCGAATTCATGTACAATGCAAATGTTTAATAAAACGACCGCGTTAGACGCGAGTTCTGACCTACTAAAGAATATGAGCTTCGATCAATCGGGGGCGGCAGCGACTCTGATGCTCATGACAGAAGTGAATATAAACAAATAACCGAATATAAACGTTCCATCTCACAAATTACAACACGAAAACTTTAAAAAAGTTGCCCATCATTAAAATTCACACTAAAACGAGTGCAAGATGAGCCACGTAAGTAAATTTGTAACCAAGTATTCAGACAAAGCGACATGATACAGAGTGTGACTGGCTGCTGACGCAGTAAACCTGTACACTGTACAGGTTAGCCGCAAACAAGTCAAAGTATACTTAGTAACTGGAAATTAGCTATAGTTTCACATAAGAAGTTTCAAACGTTTATAACGGATACAGAGGAACAGACCTTGTCAACCTCATAGTCCCGTTGACCATCAATAAAAGAGCAGTGTGGCTCAAACGGACATCAACTTCAGCAATGTTTTATTTTGATGCACGGGCTACAAAAATACCAGCGTGAATAAAAGGTATAAGAAACATCACCAAAGATATAGAACATCGTTATTGTATTTCCACCTAGCGTAAAAACCGATCAAGGTAGCCTGGAAAGCCCCATCTTATAGATATTTTGTTGAGAGGCTCTTCCGAAAGCATATCTTCCAAATAAATATTCTCTAGCATATACTAAAAATATGGTTCAGAAGCTGTCTTTTCAATTATCATGAGAGTGATTCCTCCCATTGAAAAAAAAATTAGTTATATGCCAGTGATTTTGTCACTGGTAAATGCCAGAAGAAATGGTCGTGAGGTCGTGAACTCAATAGCAACTGAAGGGACGACAGCAGCGTTCCACGTCGCTGTTTGTGTGTCTTCAGCTCTAGAGCATTCATCACAACGCTAAGGTATATTATTTGGCGCGGTACGCTAATAGCGAATGTCACAACCAGGACAACCGTTACATTAAAAAGAAAAATTTTTCTTCACCGTCTCCTTAGTTTTAAAAAGAAGTTTAATATTCTGATTGAAGCGCATTGATGTTTACGTCACTAGTTGCAACGAACAAATATCAATTGACAAGCATTTACGGTAAGGGAAGGAATTTTTGCTTAGGACTAAGAAGATTATCTATAAAACCATTTCTCCGTTTCAGCGCTGAACCAGACATCGTACGTAGCGAGATCATGTGCCCAGCGCTGTAGAGCTGCAACACTTCATTCCTCAGTTTAATAATCACGTGCGAAAATATCAAAATATCCAGGTTCCAGGCAAGTGTGCACCAAAAGCACGGATAAATAGCACACTTCAAGCCTAGAAAAGCAGCTACCCGAATGTATAGAACAGATTCAGTAGGAAGCCCACCGCTTGTGCTTCGGCTCTCACCAACCCACGTTCACGACAAACCCTCCAGTGACGACTCATCAGGAGCTGCCGTCAACGTTGACTGCTCACTGTCGCAATCACTCGACTTTCTTTCGATGCCATCTGCTTGATCGTCCGAATATTGTGCCGTTTCCTGTGTAGACTCAGAGGTTGGTTGCTCTTCGACGTCTCCACCCCAGGCCTTCAGAGGTTCCGCCGCTGCCTCCATCAAAGTTATGCGGACTTCGTCGCTGTGAGTCGAGTCCGAAGACTGCGTGGTTAGTTCACTGTCTTCGCTGTCGGTGTCCAAACTTCCATTTTCGATGGTCGCAAGAGGAGCTCGTTTTGTTTGCCTCGTAACTTCGCAAACAGAAGGCGAGGCGTTCTGAACGGACGAGTTTTTTCCTCTTGACGAATTATTCATTTGAGAACATTCATCACTAAGTCCTGTCAATTTGAAAAGTAGACCAAGGCTGGCTGGGATACTCATTGCGGCTTCACTAGCAGCTTGGCTCGATACTTGGTCAGCAGAAGAGCTAGAAGTCGAGTCTGGGTGCACGGAATTAGTAGGAGATAGCAGCTTAACTTCACCACATGGAGGCACAGCCGAAAGAGGGCTGTGACCTTCAGGATCTGAAGTATTGCTGAACAAACTATCGCGATCGCCGTCCTGAGAGGTTCTCGCAGGTAAATTAATATTAAGCTCTCCTGTATTAACTCCACTTTCCTCTAAAAAGCCGCTGTCTGTCAAATCTTTTTGGGGTCTTGCCCCGGGCGACAAGGCATCAGCTTCAGCTCTTGCTGGCGCTCTCAATACTACGGTAGAAGCCTCACTCTCAGAAACCGACTCAGCAAAAACCTCATCACTTTCGGAACTATCAGACCGAGTTTTCACGCATGGCTCTGAAAAATCCCATTCATCCTGACTTTCACTCTTTAGAGATACAACTGGTGTGTTGGTCTGTTTTTCTTCCGTGTTAGATTCCTCAAGACTGAACCCTCTTTCGATTTTAGCAGGGGATGAAATTACAATCTTCGGACTTGAGGGTTCTTTGTTTTCTGTGGATTCTAATTGAGGAATTTGGGACAAACTCAAGGATTTGCACTTTGAGATCGGAGATGCAGCGATGGACTTATCACAAACCCTAGTGACGGTGAAACGTCCGCCGGAGAGGAACCTGTTCCTGGTGGCAGGTTGAGGGTGATGGAAAACTGGCCGAGACGTCGTAGAAATCGTGCATGTTGGAGCAGACGACGAGGCAACCGCAACCGAGGAAATCAAGGAGCCACTGAATGGCGGTAAAGGTGCACAGGCATTTTCGTTTAAAATTGGACTGTTTGTAACACTACCAGCAGGAGACACGACCGGAGTAACCTTGGAAACTTTGAAACGGTTTTTGTAAGGACTTGAAGGAACAGGAGACAACGAAGGACTAGGTACAGGAGAGGCACAAGGACTGGGGGACGGACTGCGATATTTCTTGTGTTCGTCGGTGGCAAGTCCTGCACCCGATGCTACGTCTACTGCTTGGACACAACTAGGCGATGGAATGGCAACCGGTATTTCTAGGGTTTGAGATCCCTCAATTTCCGAGCTAAGAGATAATTTTCGGAAGTCAGGATCATGATAATAATCTTCTGAGTCGGTTTTTTTGCCTTCCAAAGGCGGCTTGAGAGCTTGAGCTTCAGTCCTATTCCTTTGCGTATATTCTTTGATTTCTAGGAGTAGGCTCATGTGTTTTTCTGCCAATTCATCGAGGGGCTCAGAGCGAGGGTTTGAGTTGAGGTCCATTTGAATGATCGACGTGTTATGACGTAACGAATGCGCAAGAGCCATCAGTCCGGCCACTTTTATTGAATTCTCCCTCAAATCGACTCTCTCTATATTCTTGCTCTCGGCAATGAGCTCAGCTAGGGCCACTGCTCCTTCGTCTCCTATTTTAGTGGCATGAAGATAAAGTCGCTTCAGGCTTTTGTTGCGGAGCAGAGCATCCTTCAGGCGAATGGCGCCATCGTTTGAGACGCTGTTGCGGCCAATGTTCAGAGTTTCCATGGACGGCGAAGACAACATCATAGCTGCTAAAAACTTAGCCGAGCTCACGGTCATGTGATTGTTCCACAGAACCAGAGAGTTCAAGCCTAATTTGTTCTTATCCTTAATACTGTTCAGGTCTGCAGATGTAGCGGCAGCTGCAATTGTTTTGCTCTGTTCAGCTATTCCTTCACAGACGTGAGCACAGCCAGTGTCTTGTAGGTTATTATTTCTCAAGTCTAAGAGTTTGATAGTCAAATTTGTTTTCATTAAATTGCCAATCTGGATACAATCACTGGAACCCAACCTATTGTCTGCCAAATAAAGTTTAACAAGCGTGTCGTTCAACTTGAGAGCAGCAGTTAACGTTACCAGAGGTCGGCCAGTCAAGTTGCAGTTCTCCAGGTGCAGAGTGTGCAGTCTAGAACCAAGTTTCAAAGCCTTGCCCAGAATTGGCATGTTTGCTTCGTTTAAATTAGTTCCTCGAGCATTCAGAGATCGTACAGAGTGGTTTTTCTTGAGCATCCTAGAGCACGCTTGCCAGCCACGCATGCCAATTTGAGAACTGCCAGATATATTGAGTTGAGTGGTCGAGTCATAGAATTCAATCATATCGACCAACGGAATGACAGTGTCGTCGGTAAGAGAACAGTTTTCTAAATCAATACAAACGAATTGAACTCTCTTGAAAATTTCCTCGAGGCACTCACACTGACTTAGTTCCAATTTGCAATTACGCAGAGAGAAACACTCTACTCTTCCAGGTACATTGAGCGGCAACGCAGCGATTTGGTTCACAACACTGGGTATTGGCTGGCAGTTGTGGCTACGACAAGAACTTAAATAAGCTTCCAGAATTTCTTCACTTTCAACGCTCTTTTTCATGCGTTCCCATGGATCGACAGGTTCGAGGTAGCTAGTAATGAGTTGCAAGTCGTTCTCAGGGAAGCTGACTCGTCGTCTCACGCACGAGTTTAGCTTGCGCTTGCGTTGGGCGATGTTGGCCATACTCGAGGTGCGGTGCGACAGTGGTACGGGCGAACACGGAGCAGATGTGACCACCAACTCGTGAGAAGGATCCTTAAAATTGGGAACTTTTTCGCTTGGTAGTTTGAAAAGAGGTTTCTCGAGGTCTTCGTTCTTGGAGGTACCTACATCATCTTCTGTTTCCTCGAGAATGGAGAAATTTCTCGGCGAACTCAGAATTCCATAGTTGCGTTCAGGAGATAATAGAGCTGTGTTATTGGAAGGAGTTCCTTCACTGACTAGATCGGGACTGCAGGCGGCAGTCACATCAGGTACATATGAACAGTCAGCAATGGAACTTTTTTCTAACTCGGAGGAAATTTTCTCAATTGTTGAAACAATTGTAAGGGGAGTTTGGTCGGCGGCGGAATCAGAGCAGGCGGCTGAGGAAGGCTCACGTCTGTTCTTGCATTTCTCAAAGAAGACTGAAATGCCGCAACTAATATCCAATAAATCGCTAGGCTCCGGAGAAGGTCCAGTAGAGTCGGAAACTTTCATAGTACACTGCACAGAATTGACGCTGGAGCCGTTACTGATGCTGGTGGGCTGGTCGTGGCAAGTGACAGGTGAAGAAAAATTCAAATTTTCACTGAAGAATTTGTCAGCTAAGAGAGCCTTATTTCCCTGTGAAATACCTTCAATTTCCATTGAGCTTTGGGAAACGCATGTTTCTGGGCTTAAGTCGATGTTTGTTAGTTTTGAAGTCAAGTTTTCAAGTGCAGATATTGCTTGTGAGAAAATATCCTTTTTGGGAACATTCTCGTCGCCAGCTTCGCAGTCGCTAGACACGTCAGTTCTTCCACTTTGTTGCTGTTCTTCTGCGCCAAAGTTCTCTGCTGCTTCCACGCCAGGCTGCGGAACTAAAATCAAATTATCGGTTAGAGCCTCTAAAACACTAGCATTATCAGGCCTCGTGTCGTCGGTCGGACTTGTACAATGCCCTGGCTCAGCCGGATTCTCCAATGAGCTTTCTGAGTCAGCATTCGTATGGTCGGGAGAGATACCTGATAGGAGAAGAGAATTCTCTACAATTTCAGTAATTGGTAAGTTTGTCGAGTCTTCATTAATTGGACCATCAAGATCTTCAATACTGAACACTTCTACTTCACTGCCATTAGACTGTTCCTCTTCAGTATCCTCAGACACATCAGCTGCCGAGCTATCACCATCTGATTCATCGGTACCTGGTAATTGTTTTTGGCCGGCATCTTCCGCCGTGCCATCATCACATAAAGCTGAAGTCTTGCCAGAATAGTCGTAGGCGACGAAAATTCCTAGCTTGTTGCTGTCGTCCTCAAAATCCAGACTTTTTTGAGCAGTAGAAGCATCGATGTCCTCACAAACGAGACTTTGATCGGACGTACTGCGTGAAAACTCGTGATGAAGGCTGCCTTCAACGCTCTGTCTGTCACATGCAAGATTGTAATGTTGACAATGTGGTAAATGTTCGATAGTTACAGGGGCAACCTCACATAAACTTTCAGCACTGACGCAATTGGAAGGAGAAGCCGTAGGTGCTAGCGCTCCACAATGCTCGCACCATTCAGCAGGAGCCAGCGGTGCCGCTTCGTTTGAATTTTCTACTGGAGGACCAGGAGATCCAGGAGACACCGTGTCATGGTCGGTGATCTGAGGGGTCGGTAAAAGCAAGCAAGAACCGTCCGAACATAAAACATTTTCCTCTTGTTCTGAGGCCGTCAACGATAGGTAGTCTATTGATTCATTCAATGGAACTCCATCGCTTCCACTACAAAAATTTTCCGCTCTGCCACTTTCGCTGTCGCTTTCTGCTGGAAGCTTTAAAGAACAAAAATCTTCCAGTAGGCTAGAAATTTCACCCGAACCATCATTTTCACAATCAATTGGTGAAGAATCTGCGGGATCAAAATCCGGAACTTGTTCAATTTCAGCTTCTGCGCCCGCATCGTTAATATTAACAGGCGTAAGAGAAGTCGCTTCATCCAGGGAGGCGAGTTCTTCAAGCACAGGCATCAGAGAAGAAGATTGATCGTCGGTCGTCGACGACTCTTCAGCAAGGCTCTCATCAGTGACTATAGGCAAATCCACAGTTTGACAAACGTCAGGACTTTGCTCTTGATCTTCAGTATTGATGCTATCGAGCTGGTTTAGGTCATCTTTCTCAGGAGAAGCATCGCAAATCTCATCGGCCGCCATTGCAGACGGTGACATCGGGGAGGTATGGGTCGTGACGCAAGTTTCTGTATCGCTGGCACCAGGAACGATGTCTGAGGCAGACACGGGCTGCTCTGTCTCGGGGCTGTCTGGCATCGACTCAACTCGATATGGAAATTCCATACCAGGATGCATAAAAGAGGAACTCCTTTCAGATTCCACAAGTCAAGGCACGTGAAATATGAACAATATCCAATTCCAGACACTCGTATCAAGAGATCACTGTTAACTTCATTAGATGCTATGGCAACATTTAACGCAGAATCTAGACCGAAACCGAAGTAAACTTCCTCGAGTCTTGTTTTGAATTTCTTACCAACTAATAATGTTCATGCATGACATCCTCAAGACCAAAATACACACAAGATAGAACATTGATATATACAGAAGAGCTTGCTAGGCAAGCAAATGAGCCTCAAAGCTAGACATTCTTGCAAGTGCCTTCATAAAACTATTATTAAACATTTAAAATTGCATTTTCATAACAATCATTCACTCTAAATTTGTATCACAATAAATTGTACATAAAAATTTTTGCGCATAAGCAAAAGTTTCAACGGAAACCGCACGAGCTATACAGAATGTTTCAATGATACCAGAATGAACTTTCAATACCCTGTCTACATTTCACGATGTGAATAAATATACATTCTATATAGGATGTAGAAATGCACACACTCGAGACCCTCTACTAAGCTACAGAACACATCAACCATGGGTGTACAAGAGCAACGAGTAAATTGTCAGCATCAAAATTGTTGCATCAAGTCAACAAGACAAGAGGGCGCGGAGACGCTTAGCTTTGGTTTGGTCGTAGATTGTCTACCAGTTCATCAAATGCGACAAGACGTTCGGCCGTGAGAGACAGGTGTCTATTAGCAGTAATGAGGTAGACAGCTTGGTGCCTTCGAAGAATTTATAAGGTACAAGTAGCAATGGCAAAATAAACTTCCTGAGACGACTTCGAACTGAGAGCAAACTTCAGTAACAACCATCCGATACAAGACAATACAATCCGATACAATTCAACTGTAAAAATGAACCTTCAATGAAGGTGAAATTATCCACAACCACGATGAGAAGATACACGGTTTTTACAAGTCGGTTGTAAATTGAATTGGTACAAATAACACAAATTTACAAGTAAATTCTATGAAATCAAGGAATAATCACAAAATAAAGTATGCTTCACAAAAGAAAATTATGACAGCGAACAACTTACAGAGATACTCGAAGAAAGACAGCTTCACTTAGTTTCTATTGGCTGTGCCAGTTGTTTCAAGCTCTAATTTCTATCGTGAACTTTGCTCACGGATTTTGTTATGGCATTCGCCTTCCTTTCATTATATTACTCGGAGACAAACAATGCCAGGAGTTGGGGACAGACTCGTGTATTTGGGGACAGACTCGTGTATTTGGGGACAGACTCGTGGATTTGGGAACAGACTCGTGTATTCAGCAGTGCCTGCTGGGGGACGACACGACGACGCTGTCGAGACCAGCCATGGCAATGTCAGCCGTGTGACCGTGGGCGTCTACGAGAAAGTTTGTGCGCGATGAACTTGCTGAGGCAGAGGAAGAATCGGCCCGAGCAACAGAACTGTAGCACTGGCGCGGCAATGAGCATCAAAGGCAGAAGTGAGAAGGGCAAGAGGCACGAAGGCAGGGGTAGCTGCATCAGGGGCGCCCAAACTAAGATGAGCAAGAGCAGAACAGGACAAAGCAAAGAAGAAAGGTGACACAAACTGATGATGAGCCAGGGTAAATGATTTCTGTAACAACCAACAAAAAAAAGTGATCTCAGAACATTCCGTTTATTCAATCAAAATGTGAACCTTGACCTCAATCCCGTTCATGAGAAATGAACTGAAGTATAAAAAATAATAAACGTTAATAAGACTGCTTATATGCAATGCTACACCAAATACAAATTATTTGTAACCGCAAACGAAGTTTCTACAAAAATATCCAATTCTGAAATGAAGATAGCATAGAAGCACGAGTATCAGCATATAATAGAGTCAAGAGACATCACAGGCTAAGTCTAGGGAAGAGTTCCCGCAGCGCATCCAGAGCCTTGTAGTAGTTCTGCACCGACAAGTTGTTGCTCTCCTGGACGATCTGCACACAAACAACGGCCGTTAAATGGGCTCTTTATTACGTGACACGCTCAAAATTAACTGCCAGAATTAGCATGAATAATTCATACATATTATAAGATCCATCATTTTATACTATATTGGAAATCATAGAGATGTTTAATTCATATATATTCTAAGATCCTTCAATTTATACAATATTAATTGGAAATCAGTGAGATGTCTAACGTAAGAATGAGACTTTTCAAAGCATCAATTAAATGTATAATTGACATGATCACCAACATTTGCTCAGTATTTCCCAGATTTTCATCAAGAAAAAGCCATAGTGTCATATCATTGGAGTGGTAACAACTTAAATACAGGAACTAGGTATTTTTAAAGCAGCTAAGGGGAATTACATTAAGTAAAGTGTACGTATTAAATAAGTAATCGAGAGAACGGAACAGGATGCCCATGTCAGTCTGCCGCCACTATAACCGATAGCGTGACGTGACCGCGACCACATGAGGTAAGTAATAACCCATGCCAGTGTCCAGATCTGGGGCCATACTTTCAAAACTCGCTAAGTAAACGTAAGTACTTACGCTCCATTTTCTTGTCTATGATTGGTGGATTTTGCTTGAAAGGCCGTCAATGATTGGCTGATGAACTTACGACCTCTTAACTTTTTTTGAAAGTATAGGCCCTGAGCATTAGTTGTTACTAACACAAAGTTAATTTATGTATTCATGTTAAACAGATGCTTTGTTTGCAGTGACGAGTCTTTGGCATGTTGTCGTGCAGAATTGATGTTCCGTCTGCATAAAAGCTTGTTTGGGTTGGCAAAAAAACAAGTAAGTTAATACTGAATAGATTAAAATATTCTCTGTAGAAACAACACGCCCCGAATTAGATGCCCTTTCTTTGCTAAAATAACCAGATCACGCATTAAGTAAATGAAGTCGAGTATGTTTGCGACATTCCTTACAGTAAATCGAATAAATGATACACACAAATGCATAAAAACGTTTATTGAAAAAAACCACACAATATATAAAAAAGTTATAGCTACCTAGATGGCTTGTCAATCAATTCCTCGTGGACATATGAATTTTGTTCGCTGCAAGCTGCGTTCTAAATTTATGCTATCAAAAGCATAGCAAAAATTGCGGACATCGAGAGGCGCGTTACATTTCTTATGATACTTAGCCTAAAGCAATGATCACCTGAAGTGAACACATTGCTTCAACACAACTCAATCCTTAGTTTAAAACATGACAAAAAACCACAGACAACAATACACAACCTTGGAAAACAAATTGGCCAAGACCTCAAATAGGTACGTCTCAAGTATTTTTTAGCACAATAGAGCACGCTGGGTATTCGACTTCACGCCAGATATGCTAAGTCAAGGTTTCTTTCCTTTAAGAAAGCAACTCAAGGAAAATTGAGCGCAAATTTAGACCGAGCAGCTGCCATTCGAAACTGAGTATAGCACGCATTTGGTCATTTATTTCAGTTCTTTACAGAGACGAAAGTGAATGACAGTGAAATAAGCGCGGTTTAATAGCACCACTTCAAATGATGAGTGAGATATTTAAAAGACTCAATTGAAATACTCAAACATTAAATCAAGGCTGACGGAAGCGCGTTAACCTATCTGGGAGACAAGAATTAATATATTCGCTTCAATTCTAGGCATTACCTACATAGAAATTAAAAGTCACATTTATTGTGACTTGATATAAGATTCGAGTGTACGTAAGGTCAGGTTACGCAATAGGTATTAAAGTTGAGTTGAGCAAGTTAGGAAAATAGAAAAAAATGAGATCATCGAAATCGCGACGACTTTTTTCGGCCGTTGTGTAACTTTATAAGGTAAACATTAAACTAGACACTCAAAAATACAATTCCACCCCACTAATCAGCAGCCAAAACTTTGCATTGGGCGTGCTTGGGCCTGGGACTTGCAATTCTTTCCCACAAACAAGGAATGAGATGAAATAAAGTGAAGGTACTGTAATGTTGAACATACCTTGGCTACAAGGAGGGGCTCCTTGTTCACCATGCAAATCTCCCCATAAACCGTGACGATGCTGTGGTTCCACCGCGGCTCCAACCCACTCAGCCCCAGACACTGAAGATCAACCTGACAAATGTACATATCGTGTTAGATGGTTTCTACATGTCCGTGTCAACAATGCACACATTAAATGGTGGCGACATGTCCTGAAAATAATACGTTCATTTAAAAATTATGCCTCATGGAGGCTACATGTTCTGAAAATAATACCATGTCAATGTACACATGTAAAATGGTGGCGACATGTCCCAAAAATAACACGTTCAATATAAACATTATGTCTGATAGTGGCTACATGTTCTGAAAATAATACGTCAATGTATATATGTTGTATGGTGGCAACGTGTCCCTAAAAAATGTCTATTTTCACATTATGACTCATGGACGCTACATGTTCTGACAATAATACGTCAAGGTTCAAGCACACATGTCAAATGGTGGCAACATGTCCCCAAAAAAATGTCTATTTTTCACATTTTGACTCATGGTGGCAATATGTCTTGAGCATAGACACATAGACATTTGAACAAGCACCATTCATCACCATACTTAATTGTTATGACTGTCACAGAGCTTGACAAGGAATCATACAACAAAGATGGAAAGTGTGCAACTTTGTATTTCCCAAATGGCAAATTTTTGCAAATTTGATTTTTTTTGCAAATGACCTCTAAATATAAAATTGTTGTATAGTTGGGCAGATATTTTTATATAGTTTGTTGTATAGTTGGGCAGACCAAGTAAGTAATAGTAGTCACATTTCCCTCATTATGGGGCAGTGCCCCCCATTTGCAAACTATGACACTTTCCTCAAGTTTGTCATTTGCATATGTAACTAGAAGAGTTCTACTACAATGCACCAAAACATGGAGTTATTTGGAGTAATTTTACCAAAAAAATATAATTGATTTTACCACCTGGTCTAAGTTACCCCAAGAGCTGGGGTAACAAAGACCATCACTTTTTTTGAAATTACATAAAGACTATGAGAGGCAGGAGCCAGCAATTTATGGTGAGTGAAGCTAGAGTATAGACCTGTATTTTGCATGTTTCAATTCAAGTTTAATTTAGCTAGTAAAGAAATGGCATCATTTATTAAAAAAAAGTGGTCTAAGTTACCCCATTTTACGGTACTGGTTGGATAAATTTTGAATAAATGAAGCATCCCTCTCAGAATTGGAAATTGTATCATATATATATATGTTTAAGATCAGTCCTGACAAGTCACCTTCAGAAATAATAGAATGAAACAAGTTATAATAGAAAAGTTATTTTCAGGACTTCATATCTAATGTAATATATACCATTACAACTGTTAATATATTATGTCATGGAATTGAAATTTAACAGTAATTAATGTTTCCCATTTGCCCACAATGGCCTTAACTACCTGTGAATGAGATATGAAAATGACTTAACTGGGATAGTGTGGCTTTGACATCACATTATTTTGTCAACTTAGATACATATAACTCATGTTTCACAAGTCATATTTTTTGATTTGAATATATTTCGTAGCTTGCAAAAACATCAATATAAGAAAATATGAAATTTATACATATTACACACATACCATGCTGCCACACAAACTTTTTTTTTACATTTGCGTAGTTTTGATTATGTCAGACAAGTTGACAAGAGCAATGAAACAACAATGTATCATTTTATCTTCAAAAAATTTTTCTCGCCTGGTTTATTTTGTTTTATTATGAACTCGGCACACATCATTTATCATTTCTCACATACCTAGCAAATCTTCCTACTTGGCTTACTGGGGAGTAAATACTTTCAATGTCTGCCTGGTGTACAGGCAATCTAGTGTAAAAAAATGTATTCTCCAAGACACAACTGGATTTTTAGGCATGAATTTATACATGTTTTTCAAACCTTAAGTTTATTTTTTATAGCCTCTCATTTTTTAAGCTATGGAAAGCTATTTTTGAGCCACAAACTTATTTGATAATTTATGCACACAAATTAGGCCAAGTCTCTGGTTTTACCCTATAATTAGCAACAAAAACATTTTTCATTCTAGAGTTAACCAAGCATGTTAAAACATATTTACTACAACTTTATAAGCAACCTGCAACAATATGAATAGTTACCAATAATGAAGTCCAAAATTACCACAAGTATGAGATCATCAACAAACATTTTGGGTGCAGTCACTGTGCACGATATTTGGTAGGAGCGTGGCACTGAAGTTCAAAATTATCTAGAATGACACATTCACAAGCCAATATAGTTTTTAACCAAATCAAAATGCATGACTTTGGAGCCACAAGATTTCATGCTTGCAAAAAAAAAAATGTGATATCGATGTAACAATTTTAGATAATAAATAGAATTTTGCTACTCCAGGAGACAACCATGTTTTCATTATTGCATACTTGCATCATACATGTAAGTAAACCAATTCATCATGAGTGGAAAATTCTCTTTTTATTACTGAAATCTCAGGGCTTTGCAGTGACATATAGATAACTTTGGAATCTTGAGGCTCAATCTTACACTTAATTTAACAATATCATACAAGATAATTCATCTAGCAGATATCTCACAGCTCCAAAAATGGCCTGAAAGCTCTAGTCATGGCTCAGAAAGTACCACAAACCTGAACCACATTATTCTAGTAAAATCAAATTAGCTTTTTAGATGTTATTTGGGTTATTTAAACCCTACAAATCCTAGTTTTAACCAGTATTACAAGATTTTTAGTGGCATGCAGCAAGGTATGAACTGTTTCTGCTAAGTGGCAACTTGTGTGCCTCTGTTGGTAGATATATTTCATGACTGCAGTTCATCATATGGATGGATACCTATACAAGAATTATCATAGGTAAATAAGATATTGAAAAACAACTTGAATTATATAAGGAAATGGAAGTGAAAATGGCAAATGAAATTTTTACAATACCACTGTTCTGTACAGGCCCTAGGCAGGCATAGAATATATTTACCTTTCAAGCCAAGACTATAACTTTTCCATCATTTTTGGAGCTGTGAGATTCCTGCTAGATGAATTACCTCCTTTCTTATTGTAAACAGAAGTGTATGATTGGGTGACAAGATACTAAATGTATCAAAAAGTCATCATATTAGAGCCACAATATTTTAGTTATAAGCTAGATTACACTTTATTTACTCATGTTTATTGCTCCAAAGTGACAAATTTTCAATAAGCTTGGAATCTTGTGGCTCCATCATGGAGTTTATCAACAATTAGATAAGTGATAATTCATCTGGCGGGAATCTTGTGACTCCAAAACTGGCATGAAAGTTTTAGTAGTGGCTCAATAGGTGATACCTTCCACACCAGGTAATAAGTAGGAAAAATTTCAATCCTGGCCCCACGATGCAACTGGTGGATAAAGTCTTACTTTTTCCTGAAATAGTGTAGCTCTGATATACAATTTCATTAGGAATGAAATCTCATGGCTCTAATGTAATGCATTTTTGTTTGATTGAAGGAAATCGCAGTTCACAAACATGTCATTTCATAAAATTTTCAACTTATAAAGTTATAACATGTCCATATATAATGTCCATTTAACTTAACTTATAACATGTCCATATAAAACATGTCCATATATTTCAACTTATAACATGTCCATATAAATAAATATCCTGCATAACAGGTCCGCCCAACTATGTAGTAGTCTGCCCAATTGCATAGTTCTAGTCACATCAGACTGCATTATCATGTGTTCAGTTGACTCTAAAGTGAAGACAAATGTTATTGTTGCTGTTTCTGGGATAAAATTAGAGATTTGGGATAACACGTGCAAAGGACTTTGCAAATATGTTTGCAGCTTGTAAATGGCTCTTTATGGCCAGGATATAGAATTCACGGCTCAAAGAAATGGAATCACGGCTTGAAAATCCATAAAACCACAGCTCAAAAAATCCAGTTGCAGTTCTGACAGTAAATATTTTCCTCACAAGCCTGGTGCAAATTGCAGGAAGTGAGGAAAATGTCTGGAAATCTTTGATAACACTTTAGAATTTTAAATCAAGATTTTCAGAAAAATTTGTGAATTATTCATTTTTATATATTGCTATACATCTATTTTTAGCAAGTAATCTTGAAGGTTTTAGTAGTTTTTGCAACAAATGCACAAAGCACAATTAACACTGGCAATGTTTTGTGACAAAAATCTTGATATTGGATACACAATTGCCAAACCCTGCAATCTGAATTTTGTCTTGGAAGGTTGGACAGTTGGACTCGCTGTAAAAGGATAATTTAGATCAATTGTCAATGTCAAAGTTAAATAAAATGCCATTCTTATTTAGTGTTTCAAAGAATAAATATTGTTCAATAAAATGGTTACATTAATTTGCTACTTAAAACAAGGAAATTTTATCTGTACTGTTTTGAAAATTGTGACCATTATCACCAAATACAACATGAAATTCACATTTTACCTACTGTTTGGCATAAATTGGCAACTAGATTAAAGACTCAGCCTGAAACAATTAGTATACAGCTTCTAAATTGATGAACTGACAGCATCATAAGTACGTATGTAAATAATATTCTGAATGTGGGGCCGTGGGCAGTGGCAACTTGGCAAGCTTTCAGCAATGGCAAGTAAAATTCATTTCAACAGTAAACAGCAAGTATCAAGTTCAAGGTCTCCAAGCACATTCAAGAACAGACTAGAAAAAGTTCTGGAGAAATAGGTATATGTCAACTTGTCAAGACTGTAAAAGTGTAAATGCCTGGCACCATATTGATTCATCATTCATTGAACCTGGTGTAAGACTGTAAATGTAAGTCTACGTAGCCTAGTAGACATTTCAAAATTCAAACTATCGTCAGTTTGGAAAAATATCAAAGGACCTGTTTTTAGGTCTCCTGTGAACAAGTCACAAAAAGTACAAGAATCAGAGACAGGACTCGCACAACAAGCCTATACATATTTTTCAGCATCATCACTAATTCACTATCATAATCATATGATATTAGTCTAAGATCCTGTTGATGATTAATTGGTACAAAAAAAATTGCAACTTCATCATCTATAAAATAGAAAATAATTAGAGCTAGAAAAAACCAGCGGTTATCTTATCTACCACAATCCTTAATCATAACATCAAAGTTAACACATTTTCATGAATCATGACCATAAATAACGTAGGTGTAACTGCAAACTAGAAACTACCTAGCCTCGGCCGTTGTTATGAAAAGTTTTACCTCAAGCCTCAAGGCTCAACGTCTATGTTGTGACATTTACCTGTCAGGCGGAAATGAAATGGAAATTAGGAACCAAGTGTAGCGTTGCTTAACTCCTTTCTCAAAAAATACAACACTATGCATATAACAAACAAACTTCTCGCGAATCCTGCACATACACACAGCTCGATGATTTGTTTTGAACAATCAGCTGTTGAACTACATTCGCCCCGCACTCGCGAACCGTCACCCTCTCGTTCCTTACTACGTAGCAAGTAGCGTAAATAGTGATAATGGATGCTAATATCTTCTCATTCGACGGAAAAAACGGCAAATATGAGAAACATAGTAAGAGCAATAGGTGAAAAAATATTTCTTATTTATTTGCAATTTTAGAAGACTATACCATTCGACGGGAATATATTTATTCAATGCAGTCATTCTTTACTCTTTTAAACGGACCTGAAACGCCGAAGATAAGAGAATATCACATTTTCGGTTTACTTTCGGGAAAATTATGTATGATCTCTGAGAATTAAAAATCTTTTCTGAATGAACACGTTTCGGTAGCTTTTTTGTGGCGCCCTCTATGTTTTCTCGGCTGCGAAATAACGTTTTGTCAGATGCGATTTAAATGCCAGACGCCGCCACCTGATACAACTCAGAGAGTGGGTAAAAGACAGCTCGTAACGCAGTTCACTGCATGGCTGAAAACAAAGACAAAAAGTGTAGTGGTGGATTCATTAGACGCTTTTTTGAAGCAATATATTGTGAAAACGCGACACAATTCTCTCTTATTACACCATTTATCAAGATTTATGCGAGATTTCACAAATTTCTTAAATTTTTGTTAAGAAACATCACACTCACTGCAGCAAAATGAATGAATGAACAAAGCTCCAAATTATAAATAACCGCTACAGCCAAAAACAGTTATTCCAACAGTTCTCGTATAAACTGTAATAACAATTAAAAACAGAAGGCTTAGTTACGGCAGTAAGTGGGTAGACAAAGGGTTAAAAACTATCTCAAGAACCAACTGGGGCATTTTTAGCGCATTTTCTCATTTATGGAAAAAATGCACTATTGTGCTGGCTATGTCCGTCTGTCTGTCTCTCCGTCCGTCTGTCCGTGACCTCAAGTTTTCGTCGATGAGAAAATGCGCTCTCTGTCACTCACTGCAGTGAGTACTGAGTTATATTTTTTAGATAAAGCCCATAGGTCTGAAGCAAATCTTCGAATTGACTACTGGGTTTTGAGAGCGGCATCCCACACGGCCTAGCTGTACGTACGTAGGAAATTTCATCACTTGCAAAAAGGCTAGCTAAAGTGAGAGCTATTCTCGTTCATGAATAAATGAAGATAATTAACTAAATTTAAAATAATCATCTCTTCGTCGTATAAACTTTTTATTCCGAGTCTAATATATGTAGCGTTGAACATATAAGCTCATTCACTACGGTCCTAGCGCGTAGCATGTATGGCAATAGATTTGATTAATTTTTACATCGCAATATAATTAGCTTACTGTAGTTTATTCTGGAAGCATAGTTAAATAAATTAAAAATAATAATCTCTTCGACGTATCAACTTTTTATTCCGAGTGATGTCCATCACACTAAAGAGATAAAAGCCAAAGAACACACTAGATAAGATACCAAACCAAAGAAGTGTGATATTTACCAATTGTAAGAAATTGAATAGATTGTAATTATAATATTTTAAGTTTTGAAAATTCAATGTATTACACAAGATATTTCTTACTATAGAGAAGTGAAATAAATCGAGTGATATTTATTAGGATCAGGAAAATAAGCAAGGTTCGGTTTTATCAACTATGCATCGAGAATAAACTACAGTAAGCGATTTATATTGCGATGTTGTAAATAGAAATTAATCAAATCTATTGCCATACTTGCTACGCGTAGAGGGAACGTAGTGAATTATCTTATATTTTCAAAGCTATATATATTAGACTAATCATCAGTAACAGTAATCTGTAATAACTTTATTTTATAAAGGTTAGAGTGTTTTTATATGGAAAATTATATACATCAGCATTGGTATTTATTAAATTTCGGAGCTAAACTTAGGAGTGGAATTTATTACGTATTAAAAATTAGATAAAACATAACCGAATAAATCCTTAGTATACTAAATTTAACTTAAGAAAAGTAAATAACGTAAATTTGCCAGATGGAGAACATTCCAATAGCAACACAATCTCGTCATTACACTACACAAAATAAACAGTGTTGCCGTTCAAAGAGCGGCACACAAAAAAAATCATAGAAAATGTCAAGAAGGTAGACTAAAGTGATTCTGAACTCGAGTACCAAAAAGAATCCGAACTTTGGGTCCACGGCTATATTTAATGATCGAGCATTAACGAAACCTTACTGTCTTTTTAGTAAATAAGAATCATCGTTAATGAGCAAATAAATCTTGTTACACACGACGACGTTGCCAGTGAACAGCGGCCAGTCAGTGTACAACAACCGAACAGGCGCCAGTGAAGCTAAAAACGGAACATTGACGATCATTTTCCTGTACTCCGGTTTGGATTGCACTGCCCAACTCGCCATGGAGTAACCTAATTCTTTTCCATAACAACGCAGGTAATAAAATGTAGGCGGACATTGTCCTTTGCGTGAAAATGTTTCCAAATAAGATTTTTTTTGCATATATCAAGGAACAAGGATGAGCAAGCAGGCTTCATACCATCCTTATTTAATCTGACGTTTAGACACCTGAAGAGGCAAGACAGGTTTCATACAACTCCTCACCAGAGCGTTGGAACACATCCAGGCGACAACATATCTTCTCGCTTCCAGTCACCGACATATGGAACAGCCTCCCTGATGGCATAGTTGACGCTCAGAGTATGAACGCCTTCAAGAACAGACTAGACGAAGCTATGCAGATGCATATGTTCAGTCTTGAAATGCCTAGCACTTGACGGACCAGGCAATAAGTCCAGCAGCTATCTCAATCAATCGTCAGTTATGGAAAGATCGGGTTCCAAAGGCCGGATCCCTTGTGAATCAAGTCACGAAAAGTACAAGAATCGGCAACAGGCCATATTCCTTTCTTCAGTACCGATACTTCTATTCTATTCTAATGCTTCTATTCTATTCTAATCGCAGTACGTTGCATTACAGTTCAGGCGTTGGCTAGAGTTGGAAGTGATGCTGCGACGTAATGTTCATTGCGGAGTCAATAGCACCATGATAATTGTAGAGGCAAATCTCGTTATATTTCCAACAGAATGATGTCATGTGCCGGATCCGGGCGGCTCTCGATCCTTTACAGACAGGCATCGTTGCGGAAAAATAATAGATGTACCATTCGGGGCAAATTGGTGTTCAAAATTTTTAGTCCATGGTGGCGCTTCCTCCGTTCACAGACGCAGAAATGCAGGCTAAGTTGAACGTCGACGAATGATTTTCCCAATGAACGCGATGCCTGATTATAATAGTTGTTACTGTGGGCTCAATTTCAGAATCAGGATAACGACGTTACACATGGTCAGCTGGTTAGAGACATGAATCAAATCACTGTTAAATTTATGAAGACTGAATGATATACGAGTTCAGGAGGCAGAGTTGGTTCAGGATACTTTGCAGGCTTACGGGCCGTAACTCTTCGCCCCCGCGCATCTGTCATGTCACTGTTTACTCGCGAAATTATAACCATTCAAAGGATATATTGCAAATAAATAGCCGGAATATGATACAAAAATCAGATGTTTATCTCACTTACAACTTGCAAGTAACCCACTTTGCAGCGTAATTTTCACCATCGTTCCTTTAAATTAAAAAGACTACCCTGACTTCTCAGCGATCATAACTTAGTCGTTATTTTTTTCCGCTATAACATTACCGTAACCTCTGCTAGATTGCAGAACACTTTCCCTGCAGCGATACCAGATTCTACGATATTAATTTCAATATAATTTCAATCAGTTAAGCCGGGTTCACACCATACTGCTGGACATATGCTTGTCACGGTACAGAATTCAATTTTTTAATTTGCATCCGCTTTGGAGGCAAATTGCCGACTAATGTCAACTTGGTTGAAGTCAACAGTAAAAATGCAGTGGACGGCGTTGATATGTCAACCCGACCAATTATTGCTAATAATGAAACTTGTGCATTATTTCATAGACTTGTTAACTCCAAATCTCTAGGTAATTATGAATGCAAATTCCCTCTACACTCCTCAGCCCAACAACACCCCGATAGCACCATCTTCACCCAAGGCCCCACAACACCATAACCAAACAACCAGTGCCCCTCCCCCAGCCCTTAGAACCCCCTCTCGTCCCACCTTCAGGAAGGCGTTGTACCCAGCACAGGTTTAGGTCTCTGATCATTTGCCGCAGAGTTCCTGTAGGTACTCAGCGCACCAGCCACTTTGGAAGGCGTTGCTGATGCATGGGAGTTGTCAGGAATCTGGGACGACTCAGCAGGTTTGGTTACGGTCACGTCACCGCAGACGATGCGTCCAACGACGCGGATTTTCAGGTTCGTCCAGCGATGAAGAGTCCGCAGGTGACAGAGTTCAGAAATGCGGTAAGGAACGTGGGCACACATGTCAACGTTAGACATATTTCCTAAAGATTTGCAATTTAATTCAAGCACGGAGAAACAGAATGGAGGCAAAATGCAAATAAAGTTTATGTGCGAGTTCTACACTCAATGAATTAATTGGCTCAGTGTTAGGAATCTGGTGAAAGAAAAATGAGGATGATAAATGAAAAGAGTAAATGACATATAGAAGACGAAAACCAACTAACACACATGCTATATAAATAAAGCCACGAGATAAATCTGCAAGATCTCCAAATTAAACAATGTCTTCATATTAGGTCTTACACGATATTTCAGCTGAAAATATGTTCAGCAATTAACTGCCTGATGACATAAGGAAGCAATAATGAAAATTTGTTTCACCTGAATTATATGTATGATTGGAATGGCATTCACTCGATGAAAGATGGCAAGCATTAAAGAGGGGATTAGTGGTGAATTGAACGTAAGAAATTCAAGAGAACGAGCGTAAGCCTGGTGCATAGAAAACAAATAATAACTAATGCTAAATGCTCTTCCAATCACGCAAAATAATGCATAGAAGACGAATAATAACTAATAGTAAATGCTCTTCTAATCACGCAAAATAATTAAAACCTTAAACTAATATCCAGGCAGGTTCATGATCTTCAACACGTGACTGCGAATATGTCAACCTGACTTGACCAGAGAAACCATAGATCGGGTTCCAAAGGCCGGATCCCTTGTGAATCAAGTCACGAAAAGTTCAAGAATCGGCAACAGGCCATGGGTTTATTTTGTCAGTGCCGACACTTCTATTCTATTTTATTCTAAGCCAATAATCTGATGCAGTTAACATTAGGTAGTCTTTGCTACGAGCAATGGAGGAACAGACAGAGGGAATCCTGATGCATCCTGATCAGTACATCGACACAAGAACATCACATTATATACACGAACCTTAATAGTCACTTAATAATCACTGATAATTACTTGATAATTACTTGATGATCTCTTGGTAATCTCTTGATAATTACTTGATAATCACTTCATCTGCCACGCAAAAGTAGACAAAAAAGCAGTCCGCCCTTGAACCGACAGCCCATGACAGCAGCGCCGCACCTTGCGTGGGGAACACCATGGGGCAAAGGCCCCCACGATGCAGAGGCCCCCACGGGGCAGAGGTCCCCACAGGGCAACACAATGTGCGCCGAGGGGCGGGGGAGGAGGGGGAGCACCAGGGTCGGCACATATGAACACTCACTCTTCTCTCGACGATCATATTTCCCAAACATTACCCACATTCTTACTCCTATTGTTGCGTTTTCTTCGCCAGTAGATGGAGCTTTTTTGTTCAGTCACAAATCAAATGCTTCATATTAGTTCACCGCTGCCGGGACTTCGCTGCTCCCGTTGAGATTTTGATAAAAAGAAGACAATGCATCATAATTGTGTACCATCAACAAAACAAATGAAATCACAATGGAACAATCATAATAAAAAATCCTAAAGCAAGTTATAGTAGGAAGTTCCACTAAAATAAACACAGTTGGCTAGTTTCCTAAACCATTTATACAACGTAAAACACAGGGCAGTTGCCAATACATACAGTTGAATATATATACAGGGCAGTTGCAATATATACAGGGCAGTTGCCGTTGAAATTTTTGGGCTTCAGAAAAATTGTAAAGCCTTGATGCACATCATATATAACTCCAGAATGAGTGCTGCAACTTCAAAAATTACTGTCAAATCCTGCTAGAAATATCTAGTGGTGATGTAGGTTATCTAGTGTTGGTGGTGGTGGTAGATTTTATCTAGTGTTGATAGAGGTTATCTAGTGTAGAGGTTATCTAGTGTAGATAGAGGTTATCTAGTGTTGATGGTAGTGATAGAGGTTATCTAGTGTAGAGGTTATCTAGTGTAGATAGAAGTTATCTAGTGTTGATGGTAGTGATAGAGGTTATCTAGCGTAGAGGTTATCTAGTGTAGATAGAGGTTATCTAGTGTAGATAGAGGTTATCTAGTGTAGATAGAGGTTATCTAGTGTTGATGGTGATGATGGAGAGGTTATCTGGTGGCGATGGAGGTTATCTAGTGTTGATGGTGGTGGTGATGAAGGTTATCTTGTGGCGATGGAGGTTGTCTTGATGGTTCCCTCCTTGATGGCCTGAGCGCGCGCCACGGCCTCCTGGTACAGAGGGTTGTCGGCCTCCCAGGGGCGCGGCCCGCGCTTGTTCTCCCAGCGGTCGATGTCCAACTGGGGGGCGGGGGAGGGGCTTCAGATAACATATCATTCAGCCATGCAATGTATCATTCAGCCATGCAACATATCATTCAGCCATGCAACATATCATTCAGCCATGCAACATATCATTCAGCCATGCAACATATCATTCAGCCATGCAACATATCATTCAGCCATNCTCTGCAGGAGCAATCACTCAGCAATAGCTCTGCAGGAGCAATCACTCAGCAATAGCTCTGCAGGAGCAATCACTCAGCAATAGCTCTGCAGGAGCAATCACTCAGCAATAGCTCTGCAGGAGCAATCACTCAGCAATAGCTCTGCAGGAGCAATCACTCAGCAATAGCTCTGCAGGAGCAATCACTCAGCAATAGCTCTGCAGGAGCAATCACTCAGCAATAGCTCTGCAGGAGCAATCACTCAGCAATAGCTCTGCAGGAGCAATCACTCAGCAATAGCTCTGCAGGAGCAATCACTCAGCAATAGCTCTGCAGGAGCAATCACTCAGCAATAGCTCTGCAGGAGCAATCACTCAGCAATAGCTCTGCAGGAGCAATCACTCAGCAATAGCTCTGCAGGAGCAATCACTCAGCAATAGCTCAGCAGGAACAATCACTCAGCAATAGCTCAGCAGGAGCAATCACTCAGTAATAGCTCTGCAGGAGCAATCACTCAGCAATAGCTCTGTACAGGTAATAGTCATGTTGCTTAGCAGTGTGATGAACAGCCATACATGATTACCAGCTTGAAAAAAAATATTTGTATCATGATATCATCAGGCAAAGACTTAAATTCAGTATTAAATTGATGAGATTTGCATTTGACTTTGAATTCAAACCATCACCCACTTCATCGCAAATATGTGAACAAATCGCAAAAAGTACAATAATTGATAACAGGCCTAACCAGGCCTATTCTTCATTGCCAAATATACTACCTACTACCATACTAATACTGTGACTTGTGCTGCAAAATTTCACAGAAACTCAAATAGGTGAAGAAATATAATGTTGCATTTTTATCTTTGAAGCGGGGACTAATACAATGATGAACTGTTGAGAACTTTTATAAATAAACATCACAGAAACAGTGACCCATTAATGACTCACTCACCTGAGTTGTTGGAATTGCTTGAGGCCAAGAGAGCCACCAACCACCAGGATGATGAGTGGGGCACCATAACTCATAAATTTGTTGAGCCTCATGCTGCCTGCAAGGATTTTATTGACTAACTTTGATCAAAGCACAAGTTCATCCATATTAACAAGACATGCACTTGCACTACAGATACAGAATACTACTAGAAGGACCCTAAACCTGTTTAAATGAAATACAGGCCATGAGTGGTTCTAATGAACTGACATTAGGATTTACTCTTCTCTCTAGCTACTTTGCATTCTAGAGATAATTATTAACATGCCATTTAAGACATAAAGGTTATGCTTATGGATATCAGAATAGCATAGAATATATCTACTTTTCTAACCACAACAAGAGCTTTTCCACTATATTTGAAGCCACAAGATAAATTATCTTCTATATAATAGGCTCAGGCATAGTGGCAAAGCAGAGAGTTTTTTAGACTCTCCCTCAAGTTTATTTTCCAGTCCTATAAGTAGACCAGGGGTTGGATTATCAAAACTTCATATGTATGCAAAATCGACTTACAAGTGGCGTTGCTATGACAACATAATACTAACGGTAGTATTATAAAAACATTTGCGCAGGAAAAATTTGCGCGGGGAAAAAATTTAGGCTTTTAGCTAAGACTTGCGTATGAAAGTTTTGATAATGCCAAAATTAGGGTGTATTTACGTACGGTACCACAGAACTTTTTTGTCGTAAGTACAAAAAGTTACGAAATTTTGATAATCCGGCCCCAGTAAAGTATCATGGATACCAGCCTAGCAGCATTAGCATAGGGCAAATGCAACATATTCAGACACTGTGGGTAATTCCGACACCCCTCAACGTCTTCCATTATATTAAGCTTGGTCTTAGGTCCACGCATGCGTAGATGGTTGAAATAGTGACATCATACTATTGTGCGCCAGATTTCCACAAAGCACTAGGTCTAGACTCCTGCGTCTCGAAATAATTTTCTCGAAATGAACCGGGACAGACGAAACGAGACGAGAAAATTCCGGGAAAAAAATAACGGGACAGAGAGTAAAATTTGTCCCGGAATAAACGTATGAACCGAGACAAGACTTCTGTCCCGGACTTTAAAACTTGAGCCCCATAATGAGGGAAATGTGACTACCTAATGGCAGCCCTGATGGGGTAATATTGACTTGCTTGAAAATTTAGTTAAAATTACCATATATAAGACTCTGTCGAGTCTGAAACATAAAGAAAAAATATAAATAGGCTGTCAAACATAAAATATGTTATAAATGGTAATTTTATATTAACTTCCAAGCCGGTCCATGTTACCCCATCAGGGCTGACATTAGGTGGTCTAAGTTCCCCCATTTGGGGGTGACGCCCCCATTTGCAAACTATGACACTTTCCCAAAATTTATCATTTGCATATGTAACTAGAATAGTTCTACTATAATGCATCAAAATCTGGAGTTATTTACCCAAAAAATAAAAAAATTGGAGGGGGTACTCTGACAGGCTTTAAATAATAGCTTTTTTTTCATGGGTCACATTTCTAACTTTTTAACCTATTAGATATGCAAATTTTTAAATCTTTCTATTGTGTTATGTAGCCTCAGTATTACACCTTTAATGCCCATTAAGAAATTTTTGTATGTAAAATAGTTTTCGATTTTTGGGGGTTTTTGTTAAAAAAAACGAAAAGTGGTCTAAGTTACCCTGCCGGTCTAAGTTACCCCATTTTACGGTATACTTGTATTTGCTGATTTTAAGTGGTAAATAAATTAATAGATGATTGATTTAAGAGATGGTTTTAGACACATAAAAACTAATTCTGGCACAGGGTGTCAGAATTATGACACACAGCCTGACACAGGGTGTTGGAATTACAAATTACAATTTTGAAGTGCTGTCAGAATTAGTCTCAATATGCCACACATAAACCAATCAGAACTCAAGTTGCCCATACGGTGATCTATTTATAGCCATTTATTTCTTGCTACGTCCTTAAGGTGTTGGAATATTGTGTATTTACCCTACTTAAGAAATTGGCTAAAATCTTGACTAGGGTAAACACGGTATATGCCGACATCGTGGGTAATTCCCCAACACTTTGCGACCTTTTTCTTTTATATTAAGCTTTGTCTTGGTTCCACGTATTCATTGATGGTTGAAATAGTGACGTCATACTATTGCGTGCCATACTATTGCCAAAACACTAGGTCTGGGCCGTCTGGCGGGAAAATGTTGAGATCCAAAGAGAGACAGAGCGTGTCACCCAGTGAGAAGTTGAGAACTACGAAAAAGGTGTCAAAGTTGATAGTTGACCTTGCTCTACCAAATAGTGATAAACTGTTTGTGTAGAAAGAATATTATGGTTCAAGACTTTTAAATAAGTCTGTGAATATATTAAGAATCCTTCAAGTATACTTGTATTTGCTGATTTCAAGTGGTAAATAAATTAATAGATGATTAAGTTAAGAGATGGTTTTAGACACGTAAAAACTAATTCCGACACAGCTTGGAATTAGACACACTGTCACACACACAGCTCGTTTCAAGCTGTGTGGTGTGTGCAAAAATCAAAATTTTCTTAATTAAAAGCCTAATAGCTCTTAATTAAAAGCCTAATTAAGTAGTGTTTAATATTCAATAGTGTTCTAATTCCAAGTTGTGTTGTTTTCCAATACAGCTCACACAGCAATCAGAATTCAAACACAAGAGTACCGGTATTGGCATCACGAATTAGTAGAGTTTGAAGCGTGGCCGGAAATAGTCTCACAAAATACCAAATTTAGTCACACACAGTCACACACTCACACAGCGTTGGAATATATGGATTTGGTAGGTTTGCATTCTAAAGGCTTTTACATAAATATGGCAACATTTTGTGATGTTTCATTGTTGCTGGCGCATAGTGCGGTGTTTTGAGAGTGACGTAGAGCAAACAGAACTCGAGCAGCACATACGGTGATTTTTTTATAGCCATTCATTTTTTGCTACATCCTCAATGTGTCAGAATATATTCCTAAATGAGAAAATAAAAAATGAACTGATTCTAAAAAATGTCTGGTTTGTCACTAAGCATTTGATATACAGGCTACATCTTTTTCCAAATTCCAGTAGCACTAGCAACAAAAGCATTACCTACTGCCTACTGGCCATAGTGGCAAAGCAGAGAGTTTTTTAGACTCTGTCTCAAGTTAATTTTTGAGTCCTATAAGTAGACCAGTAAAGTATCATAGATACCAGCATTATCATACTCAAGAAATTGTTTGAAATCTTGAGTAAATGAGGAAATAAAAATGAGCTGATTCTAAAAAATCTCTGGTTTGTCACTATGCTACTGGCTACTGTAATTTTCAGGGCTGTGAGAATGAGATTCCAATTTCCAGCTGGCCTGCTAGTGCTAGGTACACAACACAAATTATCTCGTTTCTGAAATTCTGATTATCAATAAAATTACACAATGAGGCTGTGAGCCTGTGAGACTTTGAAATTGAGTTTGAATGTATAAAAATTTGTCACTCTGGAGATTGGAGCATACCTAGTGGGCCTGGGCCAGAATGGCAAACCACAGAATTTTTTACCCACTATGCTTTTGCTTTGGTTTTTGGAGCCACAAGATTGTATAGCTAGCCTAATGTATTATCAGTAGAAAAATAGGAATGATTTGATATCTAGGCCTTAATTGTTAAAAAAATGGCAAGATTCCAAGCCAAGTTATCATGAATATTACAGTACACTTTGCTTTAGAACCCTTTTCATCATGACCATGTTTTTATAGGTAACAAAATTTTTAATTAGGTATATTTAATCAGATTCTTAGACCAGGTCCAGGACCAGGAGACTGCCAGACTGGTCACATCGACACGGCGCCGGCGGTCCTGCTAATTCAAGGCATTAACTTAGAATTTACAGTCTATTGTCTTATTTCCTTCTTATATTTAATTGTGATCTTATCCACGTCGCCATTCTTGCTGGAAGCAGGCTCACTCGGCAGTCGGCATAGCAGCCTCCTGCCTCACCTCACCAAAATGCATTGCGCTTCTACTTCGTACTTTCGTAGCTTTCAAACCCGGTGCAATTCCCCTTCATTTTACCTCAAGTTGTCAAAGTTCGCATGTTCATGTCAGGTATGTCTTAAATGTATTTACGCCACTAAAAACATTTACCTAATTATTTTGTATAATACGAGTATAGTATACTAATCGACGTTTAGAAATAAGCCAAGTTTGCCTCTCGCTATTTTTCCCATGAATAGAATAGAAAATGAGCGGGATATAAAATGGACCGAGTGAATGAACAATTTACATTAGACGGTGGCCATTGCACCCAACGAATGTTTTCCATCTCTCCGTTCCAAAGGTTGAATTTACAAACATCTTGCGACATGGTCTTCAGTTACTTTTGATTGATAGGTTAATATTTAGATCATTCTTACCTAAAATTCAGTTTGCGTTTTTTAACGAGGTTGTGAAGTGTGTTACCTTAGAGTGCATTATATTGAATTACTGTTTGATGGATTCATAAGGGTAGTTTGAGGTGTACGATGATTAATACGGTACATCTAGACAACATCACTACAAGCTTTTCTTTATATATATTTTAATCATACGAACATTTGAAAGAGAATATTTTTTGATAATCTCGTAAATTCAAATTTTGATCCCCAATGAGCCTTGGGGGGGCGAGAGTTTAAGGCCAACAAAATTGAAGCGGAGATAAGTTGAGGCTCGAAACCCACCACAATACGTGAAAATTCTGGACGAAATTGGCAAGGTGGCTGAGTGGTGCACTAAACCGGTAGAAGTCTAGTAGCTACTTAAAACTATCGTCAGTTTGGAAAAGATCCGATTGAAGGATCTGTTTCTAGATCTCCTGCGGACAAGTCACGAAAAGTACAAGAATCGGCGACAGGCCACATCAGGCCTACTCTTCATCGCCGACATCACTGCTATGTTATGTTAAGTAAACGATTTCTGCAATTATTAGGCCATGTGATCGTGTCGCCAATTCCTAACCGCACGGCAACCTCTCCGGTCTCTACCAGTACTCTCACAGGAAGCTGGGATCGAACCCGCAACCCACTGCTCGAGTTTGGTACTCTAAACTGTAACCAATAGGCCACTAAAATTAGCTACAGACTAACGATGTTTAATAAAAGTTTACATCATTATGCTACATCATCATATTATTTGATGAATTATCTCTTGTAGTAACCAAATCAGTCGAAAATTTGACACTGCATATACAAATTAAAATTTAATTTCGCACCATTGCCTGCTGGAAAAGATTAGTACAACAACATTAAAGGTCGACGTGCTTGATCTGATATTTTTTTACAAGGTGCCTGTGTATAGATGGGGCGACTTAGAGATGCCGTGCATTACGGCAGATGCAGATGTTTAATACATAATGGAAGCCATATGCTAATCTGCTCGTGGATGCCGTGTAGTGTGTTTCATATGTGTTCCGAAAGGTTTAATAAATGTTCTCTTCGACATGAAGCGGTTTGGCGTCACTGAGATGTGTGCACGAACAAGTGTTGGCAAGAAAAAAAACATGTCCAGAGAAACGTTGATTCGGTGAATAGAAATTAGTAATTCAGGGCCCAGAGTGAACACGCTTTCTAGTGTTGGAAAATGAATGAACCGATGCACTTATAGCCGATCTTTCAAGGTCCAGGTAACACGTACCACGAAATAGTTCTGCGGCACCACCAAAGTCTATGCTGAAGCATCGCCCTCGAAGGCTATCAAGCGCCACCCATCAGCGACACCGAGAAATGAACTGAGCTTCCCAAAAGATCAGAGTTACGTCATCAAGTTAGCACTTACGCCACTCGTAAGTCGATATTGCGTACTTACGAAGTTTTGATAATACGGCCCCAGAGCCGTGCCTAGCAACTTCCATCTCGATGTAACTGCTACTGAGCTACAATGGCCAGCATTCGTCATGTCTAGCCAGCTCTTGCGTGCTATTTTATCAAGATTTTCGCCGCTTGTACATTTATAAACGTGAGAAGGATTCTCACTGGTAAGTTGCTATTATATATACTGATGCGTGTTCTTTTTTTATTTTTATAGTTGAACTGATTATACTTCAATCCGGTCACCGCATAGCCAGAAGACCTCGTCTGTAAACATCAGTGACATGTTTTTAAACATGTTTGTAAACATCAGTGACATGTAGATTCTTGATGATAATTTTATAACGAAATGTGCTTATGTTCATCGCGTGATGCCATATAGCATGGGTGTCGTCTCAAAGCATGACACGGCTTCGATGAAACGCTGTATAATTGAGCATTGTGTCTGGTCAGTCGGACATTTACACAATCGGACAAAAATAGTACACAAAAAAATAGTCACAAAATATTCGGACAGTCGGACATTTATTTCACACAGTTCGGTTTACAGCGATTCCTTATATATAATTCATAAGTTTTCAGTCATTCACTGAATTTTTACGGAGATACATTTGATTTCTTGGTCAGAGAACGGGAAATCCAGGACATATTCGAAAAAAAACATGTTTTAAAATGTGCAAAATATTGCAATATAAATAAATCTTGGGCAAAACAAACTACCCGACAGCACATTGTTCAAATAAGACATGCGATTTTAAATATTTTTACTTTTAAAGTATGAAGAACAAAACAGATCTATTTAAATAGATTATCATCGATGTATATAGTTTCAGAAACGGAATTTTATTTTTATAAATTGGATGGATCAATTCATTTCATAGTTAGATTATTATATTTATTCACTTCATGGTTCCATCTACAAAATAACTGTTCCATACCATTACATGGTTCTATCTACAAGTATATAAATACTTTATTTACTTTAGGTATTTTGTAGTATGATTAAAGATAAAAGAGCAACAGAATTCAGTAAGAAAATCTGACAATTTAATATTTTCTTTAAATTTACAGATGATGCCGCACTCGAGATAGAGGAGAAAGGTTGTAATTTCATCTCTCATGCTGGTCAAAAGAAGATGATGCCAAATATTTTTGCGGTTAAAATCAAGTCTTATTCATCGCGTAGCCAATCAGAATAAGGCGACAATAATGACCTAATCGGCGACGGGCCACATCAGGTCTACACTGCAGCGCCGAGATCACTATGTTATGTTATGTTATGACATGTTATGACATGTTATGACATGTTATGACATGTTATGACATGTTATGACATGTTATGACATGTTATGACATGTTATGACATGTTATGTTATGTTATGTTATGTTATGTTATGTTATGTTATGTTATGTTATGTTATGTTATGTTATGTTATGTTATGTTATGTTATGTTATATGCAAAAACATAAATATATTTTCTACGGTGTTTTTTCCATCAGTCTTGAACTAAATAAAATGGAGCTAAGGTAAAATGTTAAGGGGAATTTATCTGTATAGATTCTTTCGATGCATACAAGAATAAACCAAAATGTTACCTAAAATTTTCGTTACACCAAAGAATTTCATAGCAATTAGAAACGGTTTTATTCTCAAATTTATAAGCATTTGGTGGTATCAAGTTTGGTTGACTGTAGGTCTGCGAGAAATTCAGGCTGCGCAACTGGCGAATTTGACTCCAAATCTTGTTTCTAAAAGCCACTGATCGTCCTGCGCAAGGGTAAAAAAATACAATTGAATCATTTTGAAACAACGAAATAACCACTTGAGCTTCTTTGTTGTGTTCCTGGCCATTATTTAAGCGATTACACATTAAAATATAACAAGACCATTACCCTTCGGAGTGCGCAAATCGATCTGACCTCTGAATAAATAAATCGACCTCGGATACTTTTATCTTCTTGCTGATCAGGCACTCGAATAATTCAGATATCAACTTCTCAGGGGTTTATACCTTACATAACTATGCACGAAATGAATTTCTTTAAATTTAAGCATTGGATATGAACTTTCAAATGATATTTCACATAGTGCAAATTTCTTACACGCACTTGTTTTTCTATAATGGCGATCTCTCACCGGAGTCAAAGTTCCAGGTAGATACGTATTTTATGCATCGTTATTATCCATTTCTCATTTTATTACATATATATTGAACCTTGACCAAGATCAGGCTGTGAGGTGCTTCTAACAGTACAAATCTTTAAACAAAATTTAAAAAATGTATCTTCTAACCCATGTTACTTCCGAGCTCCACGGGTTACACCACTAAATTTTTGTTTTGGCGTGCAAACTCCACCTCTTACCTGGGTGAATTTCCATGCCGATTTGCTTGATATTGGCAAGCAATTCGACGTCCTCGTCCAAGACGTTTTCGAAAAAATCCAACTCGAAGCCTTCGATGTCGATCTTGAGGTAGTCAATTATGCTATCCTCTTTCCTGATCTTTTTTAAGATATCCCGATAAGTTAGGACCTGCACGAGAATATTTATTAAAAAGTATTTCATCCAGAAAAAAAAACGTTCAGAAAAGACTAGCGCCATTGCCAAGGAACTCGTGGACCTTTCCAAGCATAAAGTGCTGTCTTTAGAATATTTTCATAGAGGGAACCATTGCAGATAAGTTAATGGTGCCCCTGCAAATTGGGAACAAAATAATAACTTCGCTTAAAAATAAAAACTTCACCGAGTTGCTGGAATTTTATTTTATACTAATTACTGGAATTTTATTTTTGATCCCGGTAATGCCGCCCAAGCCCCAGGGTTGGAAGTGTATGTCGCGCCCTCTGGTGTGCGCCGGCTGCTGCATGGTGGGGTCAAATGCGAAAACCTGCCGCAAGTGTAATTAAATATCTTAATCTAGATTCTAGAAGGTTAAAACTTTAGAAAATACTCGAAAATTTCATATTTCGGTGTCTCAATACTTTACTCGATGAAATTTTTGCACCCCATTTGGATTCTAATCACAATAGGTGTCCTTAATGATACAAAAACTGCTGTGCATATGGAACGCTGCGTTGGGATTCTTAAAATAATGGTTATATACAGCTCGGTATATTGATCAGTCCCAAAATTTCAATTGGAGCTACAATTTAGTTTTAGATTTTTATATTTTAGAGATTTTATACATAGTTGTGTTGTGTATCGCCACTCTTATACTACCCTCTAGGAATCAATGCCTACGGACATGAATGTTTTCACCTTGCAGCCGTATTCCTCCATAGCGTCGTCAAAACTCCACTCGTTATTGATGCCAAACGAGAGGACCGTGCAGGCGCCGGGGGTGGGGGCAATATTTTCGTCCAAGCATACTGCCTTATTGCCGTCTATCATATTTGTATTGCGGTATAATTGACCGCCGAAGATTTTCTTTGGACGGAAATTAAGCATTATAACCATAGCATATAACATAGATTCATTTGTTTATGTGAAATGAATGTAATATTCTGCCCAGTTCGCCAAACTTTTTTGATTCGTCAAATTTTTTTGATCACAGTTTCAAAATGTCATCAAATTTGCTTAACATCCTCAAGAAATTTTTTGGGATATGATCGATAACATATTCAATTTCTAAATCGATACGTTTTAAACTTTATTCCGTCTTGACTTTTAATTAGCATTCTGCTTCTTATGATTTTTTCACTTTTTAGCGCATTTTCTCATTTATGGAAAAGAATGCGCTATTGTGCTCGCCATGTCCGTCCGTCTGTCCGTGACTTCACGTTTTCGTCGACGAGAAAATGCGCTCTCTGTCACTCACTGCAGTGAGTACTGAGTTATATTTTTTCATATTTAGCTTTAAGATTTCAAGATGGAGTGGATTGTGATACTCACAAGATTGGTACAACCCGCCGCCCCTTCAATGTACTCGAAAAAGTTGTGCCAGCTCATAATTAGTTCACGGTTCGAATTTCCTGTGACAATAAGTAATTTCTAATTATCAATTGAATTAGCAAAGCTAATCGGCCGAATAAGAACGTGCTTGATCAGCCCTCTATAACATAGACATGTATATTTAAAAGAAGGCATTTCCCTTTAATTGCGCACTAAAGTTAATTAAATTCACAAAAATTAACTAAGGTAAGATTTTAGTTCATAATGATGATTATTTAAGAGTTGCTAAACGCATCTGCTAATGAATAACTAAGTAAATTATAAAACATTACAATTAGCCCTGAATAAAATAATTATTTAATTTATTAATGAAATTAATTGCATCAAGAGACTATCGCACTTTTAATCAATGGTAGTTAAAACTCACCAAAAAATTGACGCGCAAGCTCAAAGTGAAGTCCAGATCTGAAGACCAGAGATTATTAACGATGACAATTTGATAGAAAAAACGCTGGTAAAATATTATTTAAAGCTTAATCTTTACATTGGTGAAAATGTATTCAACACTCAAACAAAATTATTTGCTTCGAAGTTGTATTCACGTATTTACCAATTAGCACAAAAAAAGGTCAGTGACAAAATTGTTTTGTATTGCCGCAAGACTGTGAGTGGTGAACTACGTACTGGAAATACATTGTTCACTACAATATATTAATTCTATCTGTATACTGATTGAAAATATTGCTATGCAGTAGATAGAAAACTCACTTGCCAATCACAAATACGAAGATTATGGTGAAGATATTTAATGCAACCAACAAGACCAATAAGGCGCTCAGCCGACGCACCTTGCTGTTGAGTACCTCGCTATTGATACTCATACTCACAAGTGTACTCTTAGTCACACGTGTACATAAATTACTGTGTGGTTTGGCCTACACCAAGCGCATGCAGCTTGTTCTTCTAGTAACTTGGTCAACACCAAGCGCATGCAGCTTGTTATCTTCAACGCCGACACTTCTATTCTATTCTATTCTAACTGTCAGCACCTCTGCCGTGAAATGTCCGCGGAATACATCGAATATGCTGGCGGTAACGATTCAAGCGTTGAGAAGGCAGGGAGAGGAAAGGGCTGAAGGGTGAGGAAGGATTAAGAATATCGAAAGATCCTTCAGCGAATGAATCTTCAGAGCTAATACCGGAACAACTAATTGAATTATTTACCTATTATATTTCTCTAAAATTATTAGGTTACATGATATATCACAGCAAATCCACGTCATAAGTACCTGTGAAACTAGTTCCATCCATATTTTGTGTATTCAGTTGATTGACGTATAATTTCGATGACAATAAATAATCTGCTAGTATGTATCAAAATAAATCTACAAAACAATAGAAAGACCATATTAAAGCGCAACGCGAACGAACAAGACTGAACGTATTGCAAAGCAGCCCTGCTTTTCGATTTCGTGTAACGGCCCGGCTGCCTGGCAGTCTTCACTCTTCAATCGCGAGGCTGTTCCACATGTCGGCGATTTGAAGCGAGAAGAAGTGTTGTCGCATGGATGTGTTACAACGTAGTTTTTTTTAGTTTACAGCCGTGGCCCCTGGTGTTGGTTCTTGTTTCAAATTCTACTAATCCTTCTGGGACCTTGTATAAGCCATGAGTATAAAGGTGCTTCAATGAGGTCCCCCACGCAGACGTCGATAACTGAGGCTTGGAAGCTTCATATTCTTTAATCTTTCTTCATAGGACTTGCCCCTCAAGCTTGGAATTATCCTTGTCTTTGAACATTCTCCATTAAATTTCTGTCCTTTTCCAGTCTCAGTGACCACACAACGTTTCCAAACTCTAGACTCGGGCGTACGACGGCAACAAACAACTGCTTCATCGTTTCTGCACCTAGGAACTCGTATGAGCGTCTGATTAGTCCAAGAAGTTTGTTGGATGTGTTAGCTTGCGTTTCAACATGCTTAGAAAATTTCAGCTCCTTGTCGACATAAACTCCGAGATCTTTTTCCACACTAGACTTATCAATCATTACTCTCTCGTTACAACCATGTCTTCTCATAATGTAATCTTGCTGTTCATTGTTCTTCCCGAGGTGAAGTACTTTACACTTGTCTGGATTAAAACGTAGCTACCACGTATCAGCCCAGTTGACCAAACTGTCAACATCATCTTTGCAATTCCGCTTTATTTGACGCATCCTTCACTGTATTATAAACTCTTGTTTCGTCGGCATACATGGAGCACATGATTGCCACTACTTCTGGCAGATCGTTTATAAAAGCAACGAACAAAATAAGCTCAAGAACGCTTCCTTGTGTCACGCCACGGCGCACTGATGCCCACCCAGTCTGACACGGTTCCGTTAATACTGACACGTTGTCGTCTACCTACTAGAAAATCTCTGATCCATCGGAGTACGTTTCCCTCTATTCCCAGATACTTCACTTTACGCAACAGCCGCTCATGCGGAACACCGTTAAATGCTTTGGCAAAATCAAGGTATACTGCATCCACTGGCTCCCTTTTGTCCAGCAGGCGAATCCAAGCATTCAACGTAGACAAGACTCACAAGTGGCTAGTGGTGCAGGATCTACCGGCAATAAAGCCATGTTGACAGTATGATAGGAGATGCTGAACAGTCAAGTGATCGATAATCCTATTCCTGAGCTGTGGTAGTGCAGTGGTGAGAGACCCTATCTCTGGCACCCAGCTCCAGGGTTCGAGTCCCACTGAGGACAGCCAGGACAAGTGCTTCCGGGAAGCTCAGCTCATGGTCAACTCAGCCATTCGTCCAACTCTGGTTGATAAATGAGTACCTGGCTTGTCCAGGGTGTTGTGTAATGCAAAAATGGTTCTAGTGGGTCAGCGTGACAGTGATTGTCGTGGAACTACCAGCGGCATTAAGAGTGCTTTGAAAAACTGACCTATCACCTCCTCTCTTACCGAGTTGCCACTACCAGGATGAATACTCCTTAGAGCTAAACTTCGAATAGTTGATACAAATGAGATATTCGTAACGTTCACAAGTGACCGTCTGAACTTCGCTCAGAGAGATCTCTTTGCAGTACTTGCAAACTTTCGTCTCTAGCTGGGCTGATGTGGTTTCACTTTTTTTTGCTAGACGCCGTTGAGGGCTTTTCGACTACCTCTTTTATTTTCTGTCCAGCCATAATAAAATGCATGGAATAGAGCTCTTGAACGGAGAAAAGGACGAGTATAAACTTCAAAACTGAGTTGAATTGAGTATAGTAAAGTTCCTTAAAAAATTTCGACACTGGCGGAACAATTGAGGTAACAGCTGTAGCTGGCGAAGGAAAGACAGGGGTGGGCTGGAGTAATCAAGGGCTCGACGCAACAGGCGGGTAGAGAAGGGGAGGGATGGGGTAAAGGTAGACGGCGGGGCAGAACAAAGGTGACAGAGCCGGCTCGAGAAATTTAGGCCCAACCGAAAGCCAAGCGAAAGCGTACAGCACTGTGCCCTCTTACAAGCTTACCCTCGTTACGTTAACCGCCCGTTCCCTCGTGAACCGCCCGTTCGGAAAAACCCCAAACTTTCACTTTAAGTATCTAGTATAAACATAACTAGCATTATTTTGGTTACCTAGATATATGCGCTCACCTTAATCGTTACCTTGCAGGAACCTAGGCGAGACAGGTCACCTGGTATAGATCGACCGACTTACCAGATCACTTCGCCTCCCCCTGCCCAAATTACTAGTAAGAGAGTAAAGGAATATTGCTGATATTAACGATGCTTCCCCCTCAGACGCAGATCCGAGACGATGTCTGGAACCGTCTCCCTATTTTAATTAATACACAAGTATTGTAGAACAGCACGCCTTCATCATTACTCTATAACGTAAGCTAGTTTCTAGTAACGTAGCTAGTTGCTTGTAACTCTTTGAATTTAAGCAACGATCAATTATGAATAATCTTCTTGCAACATTTCAAGAAAGATTGATATTTTAGCAGCCACTATACAGTGGTTCCGATAGAAATCTGCATATGCTGATAGCGCTATTTCACAAGTTCCTTGATCAGAATATTTCGATCTGTTCTCTATGTCACCTAATTATTATTACAGGCTAAAGACCTTTTCGCAGGCCTGTACCTAATTACAACCCTAATGTGCAGTTTCTTACGTAACCCAAGAATCTGAAACAAACGGGAGAAAATCATCGTCGATCTTATTTCTCCCGTTGAGCCTCCACATCCGTGTTAGTTAGATTCTCAAGTACGAGTATTATGACGCTTATCATTTACAATCTATATGAGATGCTCTTATCCTGTAGCTGGTGGTTGTAAAAACCACGATTAAGCTTGTACATGTATTTTCAAAATAATAGAGGGGTTACATTATTGTACCACATCATGTATCGTTCTCATATATAGTTATAATAGTTTTGCAATAGTTGTCTTAATTTATATTGAGTTGTCGACTGCTGAAACTCCGTGTGTACGGCCTTACGTATTACTCAAAAATGTTAAGTAGTTTGAATGTTTATATGCACTTTAGGTTCTAATAAACGGCCCAAACATGTAAATATCTTTATTTCTGTCAAAATTTGTTATACTTGTTCTTACTTCATATCTCAAAATGACTGCATTAATAGTCGCTTTATAATTGTGTCGGCGTACGTTGTAATATAATATAATTCCCCATGTCCACAATTATTATATATAGTAAGAGAGCCAAATAAATTGTGGAGGGAGTGTGGATTTATTTATTTATTTATTTTTGCTCGGAATTCACGTACGTTCGGCCACCTCTGGCCGGCGGGGATTCTGCGCAGCGGTCCCGCCAATCGCGGCAACCACCTTCGCGAAAGCTGGCAGTGCCTGCCGGCCTGGGAGTTTTGGGTATGCCGATGAAAGAACATATTATATTAAAGATTTGTAAAATTAATTTGAAATTATTGTAAGAAAACAGGGTTTCAGCACCTAAAGTTCAATTTAGTTTACTTCTTTCGACCAGAAAGAATTCTCAGAATAGAAAAATTTGCCGCGCTACTTCAACCGAATTTCCCGTTCAACAATGAAACCTGACAAACCAAATTACAGAAATCACAGTGACGCTTACAAAGAACATTTGTGACGAATAGAACATGTGCTCTTTTAGAACATAGACTATCTTACAAAAGTGCACCCTGTCTATTCTATGCAACATAGTTCTATTAGACATGTCTATATCATTCACTATATATTTCAATAGATAGTCAACAGACTCTGTGCGACACTATCTGCTTTTTGAATATTCTTAGTCCGATATCTGGAATGACAAAACAACTACAGCTATGAAATCGAAAAACGACCGAATATATAATGCTGCTGTTCATCACACATGATGAATCAAACCTCAATATGAACAATTGTTCAATACGTACACGAGTACGTCAATATGAAGAAGTAAAAACTAAATTTTACCCACATAATCCGGCTGCTAAAAAATTGACACGTCACTGTAAATTAGGTTTACTATATGATGATAAAACATCACATTCAAAACAAAATAATATTATAAATAACTTGTAGTGTGTCAATATTATTGCTGGAAAGCACCACGCACCCAAGCTCCCCCACCGACAGACAGTCGCAGACTAGCTTGTTACAGAGACGTCCTGGTTGGTTCATTTAAGAAGAGTGTTTTTAAAGGTCTTAAAATAGACTCTATCTTCAAATTCGAATAGTTTTTTACTTAGAACAAACGTTTAAATACCAGTCACATAAAGCCGGTGTTTATTTAAGATTACATTGCTGAGAAATAATTTTCAAAAAATTCGAGGATTTTCCTTTAATGCGCAATCAAAAACTGATCAAAAAGTCCCAGCTCTGGAATGAACTTGATTGTTTGATTTGACCTTGAGTAGAAAGCACAGGTGTAAGTGCACCTGGAAGCGATCGGTAGGTCAATAGAAACTTGAATAATTAGAGGTGTAATAGACACCACATTCAAAATGAGTGTTGCAATAGACGACTCGA